TGGATAAAGAAACTGACATCGCAGAATCCTTCGAGGGCCCAGCCTGCTGCGCAATACATTCCGAGTCCGGGTGTGCCGATATGCGCCGCTGTATATTGTCAGAACTAATCCTTCATTGTCTGACAAGACGCAAATCTTACTGATTCCTGATAAGATCATAACATGCCCCGAACGCTCTCTTCGCATATAAGGAAGTACTGCCTTAATGATGTTGAGGGGACCGAAATAGTTGATTTCGAATTGGTCTCGCACGAGGTTCATGGTTTGGGTTGAAGCCGAAAGCTCCTCAACTGTTCCAATGAGGGCTTTGAAGGGGTTAGCGGCCCGATGGACTATACCGGGAAGGCTGGCGTGTCGCACCTTGGCTTGTACAGCATAGAAGTATATCAACCCTTCCGAATGTTGCGACTGCATCTGCGATAACCGCTTGACATTCACCCATCATTCTGAGCCATAAGAACCGTCAGCTACTTCGCACAATTGGTAATCATCCTCTGTAGTAAAATGTAGTGGCGCACCGGATATCCAACGGAACAGTCTTCATGCGCCTTTCCCATCCTTCGGCGCGATGCCCCTCCACCTCAGCGAGGAAAGCGTCGAATTCCCTGCGACGACGTTCATCGCGCTCCAAAGCCGTGTGCGCCAGTCCGAGGAACGCATAGTCGCCGTGCGCAAGGACCTGCCGCGCGACGGAGATTCCGATGGGTGAATCCCCCGCAGTGATCACCCATACTCGAGGCTCATTATGCGACGGGAATTGCGCACGGGAATCGAAAGAGGGATCCATGGAGTCAATCAACGCCAGTCAAATGCGCTACCCATTGCGCGATCATAAAGAAGAAAGACGTTCACTGCAACATGCGGAGTTGCAGTTGGAGAATGCCAAGGCCCTTCCCGTAGCTACTTTGGGCTCGGGCCTGGAACTAATGGTTTGGTCTTCTGGCCTCTTCTCTTTTTCCTTCTCTCTTCATCTCAGCTTATCAGGTATTTTGCCACAATATGCCTGAACAGAGGCCTCGCAGACAGGAAGAGTCCAACGTATGTGTTCGAGGTTTCGATCTTATCTTTGTACTGACCCCTCTCTAGTCGGGCTTCAAGGGTGCCCTCCAGGGCCTCGGAATCTTCCTGCTGGCACAGTTTGCTATTAGCCAATACTTTGGCAACAAGCAGAGTGCTTCCCCCAGTGCCAATTCCGGTGGTATTCCTGCTTTCGCAGATCGCCCGCATCCGAGCGAAATCGCCGAGTCCAGTGCCATCCCCGATCTCATCGCTCCTATCTGGCCGTCCGACAGCGCCGTCGATCTCAGCATCTATGTGACACCCTCTATAATCGTGCCCAACTTCAAGTCCTCGGATAGCGTGCTTGTGCTTCAGGAGAAGAACTTCACCATCGGAAACTACAGTGACACCCGCGAGATCGACACCACCATCAAGGTCCCGAAGCAGGTTCAGCAGAATGGAACTCTTTGGGCTCACTTCTTCTTGGCCCGCACTGGCTACCAATTGGACCCAGCTGCCAAGGACTACAACACCGCCGATGCCGTCCACTTCCTGCGCCCTCTGAACCAGTTCCACGCCAAAAAGAAGGTCAAGAAGCTGAAGAACCTCTTGGCTACTGCCGAGGAGGCCGAACAGCAGCAGGATGATGATAATGTTCCAGATGTGCAGACAATGTCGTACTACCACCCCAACTTCACCTTGTCTCTGATCCCAGACTCCGGAACTCTGAAGTTGGGCCAGATGCACCCCGCGGCTCGCCAGTACTTGCAGCTGGAGCGCACTGGTGCTCGCGATGCCACTGGAAAGAACGGATGGTATTACCCTATCGCCTTCTTCAACACGTTCTGGCAATTGAAGAGCCACATGACCGAGTTGAACTCCACCGTTGAAACCCTCCCGTTGCGCATCACTGTGAACAACATGGCCAACTGGAAGTTCGGCATCCTCGCCAGTGTTGACGAGGGCTCGAAGCAAAGTTCTCGCCAGGCTGCATATGGTGGCTCTGCCCCCGGCGGTGGCGATGGAACTGAGTGGGAGATGGTCAAGGAGATCTTGTTGGACACCAACATCTGGCTCCTCGGTACCACCGGTGTGGTCACCATCCTGCACATGCTGTTCGAGACCCTCGCCTTCAAGAACGACATTGTAAGTGATATTTCCTCAATGCGTGGTCTCTGGTTGCTAACACTGACGTCCTTCTAGTCCCACTGGCGTAAGAAGAAGGACATCGTCGGTACCTCTGTTCGAACTATTTTGGCAAATGTCTTCATGCAGGCTGTTATTTTCCTGTACCTCATGGACAACAGCGAGAACACATCTTGGATGATTCTGGCCAGTCAAGGATTCGGTATCCTGCTGGAGTTTTGGAAGATTACCAAGACCGTCGACGTTCGCATGCGCCCTCCCCCGGCCAACTCTTGGTTCTCCTTCTTGCCCTATGTGATCGTCTTCGAGGACAAGCATAAGCTATCCGAGACTGAGCAAAAGACCAAGGAGTACGATGAGATTGCCTTCCGCTACCTTTACATCATAGCCGTGCCCCTTCTGCTGGCCTACGCCGGATACAGCTTGGTCTACAACACCCACAAGTCTTGGTACTCTTACATCATCCAGACTCTCGTGGGTAGCGTCTACGCCTATGGCTTCCTCATGATGGTCCCCAGTCTGTACATCAACTACCGACTGAAGTCCGTTGCCCACATGCCCGGCAAGGCCCTGACCTACAAGTTCCTCAACACCTTCATCGATGACCTGTTCGCCTTCACTGTCAAGATGCCCTGGCTCCACCGCCTGGCTACTCTCCGTGACGACGTCATTTTCTTCATCTGGCTCTACCAAGGTTGGAAGTACAAGGTTGACTACAAGCGTGTCAACGAGTTTGGCCAGGGAGGTGACAGCGACGAGGAGGAGGAGCCCACCCCTGCCGTCGAGGACAAGAAGGAGCAGGAGGTCGCTAAGTCTTCTTCCAAGGCTACTCCCAAGTCGGACACCCGCAAGAGAAAGTGAACAGTTTTCTAGATGCACATTTTTTCGGTGTCTGAGCCGATGAACTTATAATTTGCTTGCATAGATGTTAGTTCACCTTGAACTCCTTATGTATTGCTGGCTTGATGTTGGTGACCATCGAATCCTAGTCTCACTCATTATCTCGATGTTTTACAGTTAAACCCCGTTTTTCGGGTCCTCCAATAAGAATTGTAGATTTTGAATTTCAGTATTGATCGTACCTCAAGGAATATAGCATTAGGACAGTAGAAGAACAGATATCTACAAAGTTGTTGATGGTTACCCAATTAGGTTTAGGGCGTTTCCCCGTCGCGCCCACGTTCACTTCCCTATGCAACTGCCATGGAGATCTGCACCAAAGCATCAATTCCTGTTTCGCTGTTTGATTAATTACAAATAATTTCGCACATTGTCTCGTGCTTTTGGCGACCTCCAACGCGTATAATTGAAGGCAAGGCGCGCCATCTTGCGGCTACGCGCCAACACCAGACCTCAAAGCAACTGCATGCCAGGACTGTAAGACAACTCAATAATTGGAAATCATTGCGACGAAGCTGGTACAAATGAATACTGGTGCAGGTAAGTTGTGGCCATGTTGCGTTTTCCCAATCAAAACGATGACTGACAATTTTCCAGACAGCCAGTCTAGCAGTCTGCTTGATGCAGTCGAGCACTTGGAAGCCGGTATGGCCAACACACATCCCTGAGATGACAGGACACGCTACTAACAGCTTATGGCAGTTGCATTTGTCCCGCCAAAGCAGAGATTCACAGATGCTAGCCAACTAGCCAAAACAATTGCTTCAGACGCGTACGAGAACGGCATTCCTCAGTCTGCGCTTGCCCGCCTCCTGAAGATTCTGACCACAAAAAACAGCCTGGACCAAGGCACAGTGACATCCCTGGTCAAGAACCTGTACCCGCAAGAGAGAATTGCATCCAGAAATGTCACGCAAATCATTTGCTGTCTTGGGCCTAGCAAGAACAAACCCAGTCCTGCGACACAGGCTTTACTGTTGCGTTGGTTGATTCTTTCATATGATCTTTTCGAGGACAGGTCGCATCTAGCAAAACTCTATGCGGTTCTTTTTAATCATTTAGATATGATTAGTCTGCGAAAGCCATTGTGTCATCTTCTTTCGATTATCACGAGGCGAAAACATGTCAAGCCTTTCCGAATTCAAGCTCTGATGGAGCTGATCCAGGTTTCGGGCGGGGATGATAAAGAGTTGATCAGCCTCCTTCGGATCTTCAAGAACTACTACCCCGAAATCATCTTGGGTGATTTCGGCGGATCGAGGAGAAATGCCCTTTTCTTCAAACATCCCGACCCTGAATGGTCAAGCCATGCGAAGGTACTCCAAGACCAGAATGCAGAAAGAGTGCAGGCAGGTCAGCAGTCAAATTTCCAAGTTGTTCATCGGGGGGCCGTGAAACGAAGCAGAATCGAGGTGGTTGTTCCGACTTTACAAACTTCACGGGTATCGTACAAGCAGACATCACTTGAGGAGCTTCGTGATGTCGGCCATTTTGTGGAAAAGATTGAGAATATTGAACTACCAGATCAGATTATTTCAACCCTAGGTGATCCAATGGCTCAGAAGTATCTCCATCTGGTCCAATCTGAAGCTGCATATCATCGTCTCGATGAATGGCTGAGAAGTTTCCTGGAGGATAAGCTTGAGATGATCCGTGAAGATGAGGATGATGACCCGGAAACATTATCATATGTGTTGGAATTTGTTGTAGGATATGCCACTTACACCAAGGTATGTTCTTCAGATACGTCAAGTCATTATCACGCCAGACACTCACGGAATCATAGGATCTCCCATCGTCAATCCGTGCATTTTTGAAGTCCTATCTCCAAATATGGAATGGCAAAGATAATCGTGAACGCGTCTTTCGGCTTCTTCGATACACCCCAATTACACCCTTCCACTCTCTACGCAGTGAATTGCTGTCACCCCTGGAATCTACTATACTGGATGAAAACCTTGGTTCCAGAACAGCATTACTAGGCTTTTACTCAGAACTGATCAGCCAATGGGGCGTGAGACTACGATCAGAACCAGCAACACCAGAACAATCACATCCTCTGAGCCAGATGATTGTACACGTCGAACTTCTAGCATCCTCCATCCTAGAGTTCCCCGCAGACGAAGACCAAACCCCTTTCAAGCCAGCAGCAGATTCCGTGCTCGAGTTCTACAAGGCTCTAGCAGACCTCTTCTCCCACGCACCCGAGGACGCTCGATTCCGACTCACTCTCCCCTACGCCCAGACCGTGTACACTCTCGCTTTCATACCAAATATCTCCGTGATATCAAGCCTTGAGTCTGTCCTAGCCGTCTACAAAGCCGCATTCGAAGCCTCCCTCAGCTCACAAGTCCTCCAATCACAAGGCACCCCAGCCTACGGAACAGACCTCGTAGGGCGTTTCAACGGGTATGTCATGGACATGTGCAACGTACTATGGCGTAATCGCGCCCTCAATACAGAAGACCCGAACGCACTAGGCTGCCTCATCCCAGCAAAGACTGTCACTGCCCTGGCAACCTATGTCCGCGACGTGAACGAGGCTGCCAAGCACTATGACCGTGAGAATGCATTCCATATTGCTCTTACATCGATATTCTCTCTCAGTCACCACGCTGCATTTTGCAATTTGTCTGCTGCTTGTTTTGCGGATGTTGAAGAAGATCAGGATATCACGGGTGATCGTCCGAAATTAGGGAAGCCGGCTACTCATAAAGCACTTGTTGCACTTGAGAAGGATGGTGGTGCTAAAATGACTTGGCAGGAGTATCGCGTACATATGTTGGATTGGTTAGATGCCCTTGGGTGTCGGGGTACCGGTATTTTGATGAGGAGTACGATGAAAGCTTTGCGCAAGGAGTAGTGATCTATTTAAATGCAAGCATTAGCCCCACAAGGAGCATTGTCTATAGAGCCGTATTTTCTGCTCTTTAGCGGGCTGAGTATCAAAAAACCAAGGAATGAAGATGCACAACGCCATTTAAATGCTTGGTATCTATCACTATACACATTTTGTACATTGCTCGTCCTCGATGTGAGACAGTCTCAGGCTATGCTAAAACTTCTCCGTCGAGTTCAAGTATATATCTTGAACACTGGGCTCTTCCCGCAGACTGCTCAAGAGATCTTCAAGAGCCTTCACTTGCTCTTCATCCTGGACCTCGACCATGGTATCCCTGTTAGGGTCCCAGAATATTTCCAACTCCTCAATGATGAGACCAGATAGCTTGGCAAATGTCTCGCCAACACTCTTCGTCTCCGAGGGATCAGTGAACACCACTAGGCGGCCCTTATCGTCTGTGGTAATGTCCGCTGCGCCAGCCTCAATCGCCTGATCAAGATAGTCGTCTGGATTCGTACCGTCCTTCTTCTCCATAGCGACCCTTCCCTTCTTCTCAAAGAGATATGTAGTCGGTGTCACAATTCCTCCATTGTCTTTGATCATATAGCGGACATCTTGGAGTACGCGCGCCTTCTGGTCAGTTTGGCACTCCACGACCGCGGCCACAGAGCCCGGTAGCATAGCCTCAATTGTGACGTTCTCTAATGCTTGTCCCGACACACTCAATCCCTGTCCCCGTAGAATTGCAGCTTCGATGATAGTCTTGGGAATGGAGGCTCGTTTCGCATTTGATAGCGCAAGTGTCAGCCGAGGATTGTACTTCGGATCAGGACCCCACACTAGTACAGAGAGTTAGATATGTGCATATTGTAACGTTGGATGATGTACGCACTCTGCGTAGCGCTGGCAATTTCCTTGCCAACCATTGCACGTTCCTTGCTTTTCGCCTTGTCATTCCGTGCTTTGTCGTGCTTGATCGTCGACCATTTGTTATGACCGGAGAACGCAATGCTGGATGTACTGAAAGAATGACATGGTTCACAGATATATTCTGCCCGCTGCAGCGGTCGCAGTAACCTGCTGAGAGCCATCGTGCTTTGGAGGAAATTCGAACTCCGATGCGGAGCGTATACATTCCCAGCGGGCCGACTGTTTGTCCGACCTCCGCGGACGGTGAGGCCACACGATAAGGAGATGTTGACGCAACTGAACTTCACTCTCTCTTCTTCCTTTTCTATTTCTCACATGGGGCTACACTTGCCCTGATTTTATCCAATGTCTGCCTCCGAAAATACCCCCGCGCCACCTCCGAAAAGCGCTGTTCCGGAGCTCGACATCCCCAAGCTCCATGCGCTCCCCTCCGAACAACAGGACCTTTACATGCTCACGTTCACCTCCGACCTCGTACAGTATATCTCTGGATTGGAATCAGCCGAGGTATCATCCCGACAGAAAGATCTCAAGAAGGAATTGTTCAAGATATTAGCCCTTCCGTCTCCGACTATCACTCGAGTCCTCCGCAACAACCTAGGAAGATGTTTCGGCGCAATACTCGGCAAAGGGGATCGCGGGATCCTCTTCGAAACAATCACAGACCTGCTGGGAATTTTAAATGCCAGCAAGAGTGAAGCGGAATTGAAGACCAAGTTCGCAGCGGCGCATTGTCTAGGGGAGGTCTTTGCGACGGTTGGCGAAAGTGCATTCATGCAGTCGAACGTTGCGACCTCTGGCATGATAAAGCTCCTCAAGTCTGCTAGCAACCATACTGGTCTTCGTGGTGTTATCTTTGCCGTGCTGCGCAAGATTATTGTTGGAATCGGTGTCCCGCTTGATGAAGCCACCGCGCGCGACATATGGAAACAGGCCCGAAATGCTGCTATCAGTGACAAATCTACCTTTGTTCAAGTACACGCCTGCCGATGCTTGGAGCAATTGATTGCCATGGAACCCTTTTTCGATAATACAACCGACCTTGAGAACCTCAAAACACTTGTATGGAAGGTCATCGACAGTCCCGCGGCACCGGTGCGACATGCTGTGGCTGCGGTTCTTGGTCGAGCGCTTGTGAAACTGCATGCGACGGATGCGCATATCACGACTGCCCCAAAGCCAAAACCGAAGAAGACGAAGCGGATGTCCAAGAAGCCTACTTCGGGGCTGGATGATGAGGAAGAGGCAGAGATATCAGAGTCAGCAGCCCCCAAAAAGGCCGATTCGCGTCTCTTTTTCCTTCTCCCAGATCTGCTGAGACAACTTTCAACCCAATACTTGAAGAGCACTACTTCGAATCGCACGCGTGCTGGGATCTGTATATGCTACAAGTACATTGTGCGCAATTTGGGGGATAAGATCATCGAAGAACGCTATGGACAAATTGCAACTAACTTGCTTGTCGAGTTGTTGAACCATCCAACGGTCACATACAACCGATACCGTCTACTCATGACCAGAAAGTTTATCAAGAGCATCTTGGAAGATACTATCGGACGTGAATTGCTGCGCGAAAACAGTCAGCTGAGTGCGGCGAAATGGCTGATCAATGACATTCTGAAAGATTACCCCCAGGTTGTCCAGGAACGCCGCGAGCCAAGCAAGTACACATTGACCAGTTCAGTCAGCGCCTTGTCCTCATTGATCCAATCACTTGGTTCCGCCTTCAGTGGTCATGCAGACAGCTGCCGCGATGCTCTTCTCCAAGTCCTTCCCCATCCTAACTATACCGTGCAAGTCCACACTGCGCACTGTTTGCGCAACTTTGTTCTTGCATCTCCCCATCAGCTGCTGTCATGTGTTACGATCTGCATGAACAGTCTCAACAGAGAAATTGGGCAGCTCGGTACACCGCGCCAATCACCTCGACGGTGTGTTGGCTATGCAAATGGGTTGTCCGCAATGCTCAGCACTTCCCGTCTGCAGCCGCTCTACGGTGCAGTAGATGTATTCGCGCGCGTTTTTACGCAGGCAACCGATCTCCTCAAGACTAGCAGCACTTCCGAGCTTCGTGTTGCCAGCATCCAAATCCAGGTGGCATGGATTTTGATTGGAGGTTTGATGCCTCTTGGTCCCAGCTTTGTCAAGATTCATCTTTCTCAATTGATGCTTCTCTGGAAAAATGCACTGCCAAAACATCTTGGCAAGGAGAATGCTGCCCAACCGGGTAATCTCGAGATTAGCTTCTTGGCCCATGTACGAGAGTGTGCTTTAAGCTCCTTGCTGGTTTTCATGGAGTTCAACAGCAAATTGATCACGGCAGACGGCGCCAAAAGAATTGCTGCCATGTTGCAGAATACCGTTGAATTCTTGGATGATCTGCCGAAGCCAAAATCTATGGAAGATATCTCACAGCGACTTTATCCTTCCCTGCAATTGCAGGATTATACCACTATGGTGCGCCGACGTGTCTTGCAGTGCTTCTCGAAACTCGTACATGTCCACCCACCCAGTCATGGAGACATTATCTCGCAGTCCAGTCTTCTCAGTCTCGCCATTTCCTCTTTTGCAGACCCAGATGCTCAATATAAGCAACTTGAAAGTTCAATTTCCGGCTCCGCTGGACAATTTGACGGTCTATGGGATCTATGCGATAACTACGGCTTTGGTGTGACGGGACTGTCCCGAGAATATATTCATCTCACATTGTCTGGGACGCAGAAAGACGAGAAGGGCCCCGCGTGGTCTGCGCTTGACTCTGTGGATCAAGCTGTTGATGATGCTTTGACCTTCCCTGTCTGCCAGGCTAGCGAACATGACGCAGTCCTCCTATATAGCTTGCGCGATGGAGACACCCTCGCTGTTGATCCGCCAACAACTGGCGTTGTGAACTCAGCAATCGAGTTGTTCTCCGTGGCCCTCGCTCTTCACTCGCCTAAGATCCAAGAGAGCAGTGTGGAGCAGATCGCCACATTCCTCACATCTCCAGGATTGCAGAGGAACCCTGGAAGGAAAGCAGCATTGGTTGTCAATATCTCCGTTGCCCTTCTCCATGCTTTGAAGGTTGCTGTTAAAGAGACAGACTTTGTGGCTGGCAAGCTGAACCCATCCACCGATAAGATCTTGCAAGAGCTTCTCCAGAAATTCGTCACGGATGCCGATCCGATCGTTCGCACTATTGGTGTTGAAGCATTGGGACGTCTTTGTGACAGCGCTGGAAACACCTGCACCAATACACAGGTCAACTGGCTGGTTGATACTATTGTCGAGAACAGAGAGCCCAATGCTAGAGCTGGATGTGCCGCTGCTTTGGGATGTATTCATGCGCAGATCGGTGGAATGGCAGCTGGTCTGCATCTGAAAACCATCGTAGGCGTCTTGATGTCTTTGTGCAATGATCCTCACCCCGTTGTCCATTTCTGGGCGCTTGGTGGGTTGGAGAGAGTTGCCAACTCGGCTGGACTGACATTCTCGCCTTTCGTTTCTGGCTCATTGGGAATGCTTGCCCAGCTGTACAATGCCGATACACACAACGAAGAGGCAGCAGCATTGGCCACCTCTAATATCGAGATGTCATTCTTGACGCCTGTCGTTATCAGTCGATGTGTGGACTCTCTCATCAACATCCTTGGTCCCGACCTACAGGACATTGCCAAGACTCGCAATCTCATTCTGACCCTGCTCCGTCAGTTTCAACTCGAGGAAAACCCTGCCCTGGTCACAGAAAGTTCCAGGTGCTTGGATCACTTGTCACTCTATGCCTCTAGTTATGTCGACTTTGCTGGATACGTGAAGCGACTCCAGACCGAGCTTCGCGCAAACAATTTCCTCATGCGAGATGTGGCTGTTCGCGGATTGAACAACCTAATGAAGCGAGGCGCTGCCCCTGTGATACAGACAGCAGGCCAGTCCCTGGAAGATGACATTTGGCTTGCATTTGACGATGCACCAAACAATGCATCCCTCAGGTCGATGATCCAAGATTGGCTGCAGCAGACTGCCCTGACCGAAACCGAGGCATGGATTCAACGCTGTCAGAACATTATGACCAAAACACGCCACAAGGTTGAACCTCCACCTACCACAGCTGTTCAGGCTGCAGCAGATATCCCAGATGACGAAGTTGCCGGGTTTGCATCTGCGGTTGCCGGGGAAGGACAGGGTGACATCGCGAATGAAAGCGTCTCTGGTCAAGAATTGCTTAAGTGGCAGACACGCAACTTTGCTATGAGCTGCCTTTCTGAGCTTCTGGCTACCGTCCAAGAAGCAATTCTGCCAGACTCAGCCATCCCGGCAGAGCTGGCTCTCCAGCAGAAGGTTGGAGATATTGTCCGAATGGCTTTCTCGGCATCGACTGCCAATGTCATCGAGCTGCGCGTCTGGGGTCTGAAGATCATCGACCAAGTCCTCACGATGTTTGGCAAGACACCTGATCCAGACTTTGCCGAAGCCTCGCTGCTTGAACAGTATCAAGCCCAGATCGGATCAGCACTAACTCCAGCATTTGCAACCGATTCGTCGGCAGAGCTAGCCTCAGAAGCGATCAATGTCTCTGCCACTTTCATCGCCACTGGAATCGTCACGAATGTCGACCGCATGGGCAGAATCCTGAAACTTTTGGTGCTGGGCCTGGAGAACTTTGCAAAAAACCCAGGAACTACTGAAATCGGTGACCTCAAGGGCTTGAACTCCAATGCTCGGGTGATGGTCAAACTTGCCTTGTTCTCTGCTTGGGCTCGACTGCAAATTGCCAGTATCGAGCATGAGTATCTGAACTCGGTGGTCCAGCCTTATCTTGCTAAGCTCACGCCTCTATGGCTATCCTCCCTGCAAGAATATGCTCGGTTGCGCTTTGAACCTGATATCTCTGGTAGTTTGGGTACGAGCTCTAGTGGGGATTTGGACGAGGTATATGCTGCTTTGAACCGCGAGACTTTGTTGAAGGTAAGAGTCTCCCCACGACCTTCTATTTCGTAGTCAGTTCCTTGATCACTAACAATGCTTTTAGTTCTACCAGGACACTTGGCTGTACTTGGTTGATGCAATTGCTGGCCTTGTTGAGAAGGATATAGATTTCGTCTTCGATGCCTTGGATGGCAAATTGCAACAGCCTGAGGAGCCCGAAGAGCCCAGTGGCGAGGACGACAAGGAAAAGGAAGACAAGGTTGCAAAGAAGGAGCCCGAAGGCAAAGGACACGATATCAATTATCGCGAGGAGCCGGTTGCCTTCTTTTTCGTCCTGTTCGGATTGGCCTTCGAATCTCTGGTTGATCAGGGAACTTCAGCATCACAGCGCCTGGAGATTCTACAAGCTTTGAAGAGAATACTAAGACCGATCATCTCTGGAAATGCTATCTATCAAGACGCAATTTTCACGGAGACGATGGACACGTTCGACCGTCTGGTCTTGACAGAGACCACTCCCATCCAGACTGTCATTGTCGAGATCGCACAGAACCTGTCATTGGATCACCCTGCCGCAAAGGGTGACCAGGAACGCAGTAACCATCTTTCAGATGATATTGAGCAACTCTTCGAGCTTACAAGAAGTATCATCTTGGTCCTTGCTGGAATGCTTCCTAATCTCCGCGAATCGACCCCTCTTGCACGTTTCAACGTCACTTCAGATGAGTCTCTTACTCTAATTCGTCTGGCGCTGCGTTCTCTCGTCGACGTGGCATCAGTATTCCCGTCTATCATTCGCAACGATCTCCACGCTTGCATTCTGCACATCTTCACCACCATCTTGGCCACGGGAATATGCCAATCAGGTGTTGTACCCCAAGCTCTGCCAATATTCCGGCAGTTCATCCACGCCATCACAAATACAACCGAATCGCCTGAAGACCTCCAAGTCGTGTCATTCCAACTCCGCGGATGCCTCACGCGCTTCCTGACCATTCTCACTATTGCCCAGCGACGAGAATCGGACATCTCCATCCCATGCGCCAAGAACACGCTCCTCGCCATCACCTTCCTCCTCACTGCTGGCGGACACGTCATCCCGCCTCAGGACCCTGTCCTTATCCGAGTTCTGGACGAATTCCTTGACTGTCTTCAGGACGTTGGACTCGCTAATGTGGCTGCCAGCTGCATCCGCTCAATCCTCGTCAAGCCAGGTTCTCGCTCCATCACCGACGATGTGATCAGCCGATACCTCACTCCGCGGTTGATCGCTTTCCTCGTCGCCTGTCCACTGGACAACGGAGATATCCCCAACGACCCCGAAAACTCACGCACAGTGATCGGCCGCACATTGGTCTCGTGCATCTCCAACGCCACATTCTCTGCCTCGGAACTCCCCGCTGCTATATCGCTTGTCATGTCGGCCTTGCTGGCCCGTGCGAAAAGGGAAGGCGAGCCCGTGCACCAAGAATCTGCTGGCCATCTTCTCGAACTCGCGAAGGCAGATCAACTCGTCTTCCGAGCATTGGTTGCTTCCATGAATACAGACCAGAAGGGACTCCTGGAAGAGGTTCTCCGTAGTGTCGGTGTTGGAGCTGTTCCTTCAAAGTCTGGTACGGAAGCAGAAGATAATGCCCCGCAGGCTGCGCCTAGTATCGCATTGCGCATGGATTTCTAGTACATTCTGAAAAGTGTATACGATATAGACCAAACGAAATGTTTATGATATTCACATATTTCCATTGTAACGCGGAATGGCGCTTATCTCATCCCCGCAATCAGGTGACATCCAATTAATTTCCCTTTGACTTCAGCTTCCTGGCTTGACTTTCGACCTCATTCTATGAATAAATTGATCTCATTGAATCCCTGAGCGATTTGAGGTTGATTTCAAGGTCGAAATGCCGCCGGATCGGGGCCGTGCCTCGCGGGCATGTACCTCATGCAGGAAGCAAAAAACCAGATGTTACGAGCCCGGTATTCCTGGGCGAGCCTGTCTTCGCTGTGATCGACTCCGCCAACAATGTTCGCTTGTCCAAATTGGTATATCGGATGAGGAACCTGTAGCCCCCGCATCCGGTACGGATGTTCGGTATGCTCACGGCCCCATCTATGCCTCCGATCTGGCCCCCATATACTGATATACCTCTAGCTTGGAACGCCTTGAAAGGTCTGTGGCTGCATTACTCGATCGACTTGGAGAGGGCCCTCCAAGGACCCCAGGCCATGAGACCAGCAGACCTTCCACCGCACAGACTGCCGAGTCAGAAGTGCCATACAAGGAGACGGAATCTTCCGCGGCTCCAATCATGGTCATTCGCGATCTGGCAACGGATACCGGCCCTAAACCATCTTCCGACATCCGGTCGATGAGTGCGGATTTGGATGATCTTATTGCGCCTGATCTTGCACTTACGCTAATTACTATGTATGCTGCACCGTCGTTTACAAATCGGGCTATCAATAACCATCATCAGTTTCCTCGAGTATTACGGTCGGTGGGTTCTTTTTGACCCTGACTGTGAGCCCGCTGAGCTTCTCCGCCGAGTAAAAAAATCACCCTTATTGTTTTGTGCCTGTTCTCTGATCGCTGTGCGACATACTTCCGAGGACCTGGCTGTGAGCCTTGCTCCTAAGCTCTACGAACATGCCCGCTCCTTGGCCTCGACTACTCTTTTGGTCGCGCCACAACCAATTGAGTTCTTCCAAGCGGCTCTGATTCTTTCTATGTGGTCGACGACAGTGGGCCAAGTACCCTTGAGCATTGATAGCTGGCTTTTGAGCGGTTTTGCTCTGCAGCACTCACAATCAAGTCCGCTATTTACTGTAGTCACAACCCAGTCCCACCCTCCAAATAGGTTGGACGAGGCAACTATGGATCGTTGCTATTTATGGAACCATCTTTGTCTTGCTCACATGCATTACTGTGTTGGTACCAGTCGTCGATCTATGTTACAACCTTGGCAAATTGAAAGATGCCGTGCTGTCATAGATTCCGACCACGCGATTAACTTCGAAGTGCGCATGGTTGCTGAAATATATCTCTACTGGACTGTCTACGAGCACTTGATACATGAGTCAGTAGATTTATTAAAATCAGTCGCAGCTTTACAGACATGGAAGAGGAAATGGGAATTCGTCCTTGGTATGTTGGTTTCCACTCCTCTTAATGATTATCTCTCTTTTCTAACAGCCCACTCAGACCAGCCAAGATCGCAATTCTTATCCATGGGCTTCCACTTCTCCCACCTCCTTCTATATGAACACGCCCTAAAATCCAAATCCGCCCGAGCCAGGGAATCAGTCGTTTCAGAAATGATCCGCCATTCCACCGCGATAGTCCAACTAGCCATGGATACGGTAGATGAGCGAACCCGCCATTTGACCGATCACATCTACCACATGATAACATTCGCCGCCATTGTCATCTGTCGCCTGTCAACTGCGTACCAAGAACAAGTCGCTTCAACCCATAACATCGATGAGCTGGACTCATTGGTCCATGATCTCGTGCAATGGCTGTACTGCATTGGATTACCGTGCCACGCGGCACATACCCTAGGCAATATTATCGCCAAGGTTCATCAGAAGCTTAGACCTCGTGTAGAGGCTTCGCCGCCAGATGCACCACCCGACGAGATGCTGAATGACTTCAATTATTATTTCCCCGAGTTTCTTGGGCTGGGGATGTCTGCTGATGGGAATTGGGATCTTCTTTCTAATATGGGGCTTTTCCCGCAAAGTCCAGAGGGTTCAAGGCGGCCTGATTGATGGGCCTGCTTCTTGCCCTATTCATATTCTGTGTATACAACTAGTTTCAAAATCAATAATATGTTTATCGTGTGTTGTCGATCAGATGGTTATCATGCCATACTGATACTGACCTTTGTAGGCCTCGACGCTATTGCTTTCCATGGGCCAGTACCGACTTGGATTGATGCTCCAACTGCGTAAAGGTGATTTCCTGCACAAAGCAAGCTTCTTGAAAAGTACTGCCAAGAGATCTACGGGCTCCTTCTATTTTCAGACTATGATTTTATCGGGCTCAAAATATCAGATATAAAAGTAGGTCATGTCTTACTCTAGGATGTGTTCATTTGGATATGCACTTCTATCCAACTTTCTTTACTCAAAGGGAAAATAAAAGGACCCCTATGAAAGCTATTCGGACTCCTAACCCATTTGTCTAACCTTATCAAGTAAAGCGTAGTATTTGTTTTACCAACGTCTACGGTGTACGTGCAAAGTGACTTCGAAATCCGGCGCTAAGAAGGCAACGATCTGGCCCGACGTTTGGGATATTGTCCTCTCAACCTCCCTTTCTAGAGATTCTATATCTACGCCATCACCATGAGACTTCTGTTGTGGGTATTCTCCCTGGCACACTTCGTGTCTCTTGTGAGTGCTGAAGGCGATTGTATCCATACGTGGTGTGATACATGTCTGCCTGTGACGATCCACGATGCACCCGGCGTTGGCTTCGATCTGACACCTCTATATGGGTAAGTACATTGGGCCCCTGCTTGTCACCCAGAAAATTATCTGATGGCATCGAGGACGGCCGTGGTGCATTACTACAATGGAACTGTTGTTGAGGTTGCCAAGATCCAGGGGAGCCCAGAATACCTCGAGCTTATGGCACGCCTGGCTACATCTAAGCCATCACCGCAACCAACTCTCAATTTCATGCGCGAAATTCCAATTCCATCTCGTTTATTGGAATATCTCTTCCCAAGCAGGTCGTCGCCGTGGAGAGACTGGTGGCGTTGGCTGAACATGAAAATAGGCCGACCGATCAAAGCAGACGATGTCGAGATCATTAGTGACTTGCTCCAAGAACTGAAAATCGCCACCGAAAAGACAATCTTCCAGCCTCTGGATAGGGTTGCCGTTACAGAGCCGGGTTTCCAGTCGCTTGACGCGGAGACGACCAACGCTGCACTTCGAATTCTAGGTCTACGCACATGGGTACGCGACAGCGTTTATTACGCCTCTCGCTTAGTGGAAGGAGATGCTGTGTATGCAGCGAACGGTTATGGACTGTGCACCAACTACGAGGATCGTTTCCAATGCTCGGACGAATTTGAAGACTCGTCGGTACCTACCGTTTTTGTGGTTTCCTACAACCACAATCTCTTATACACTAGTATTATGGACCTTACTAGTGGTGAAGCTTTCCCCCACAGTTCAAGTCTTGAGGCGCAACTCGTCGACTACGAGCTTGGCCTAGATAGTCTTCTCGAGAATGATCGAGGCCGAACCGTGTTATTGGATCGCCTCCGTTCACAACTCCAGATCCTTCCTCGGGAGTCCAAATATACGGTCACGCATATCTTCTTAGCCGGTGAGAGCGTCACACACCCCCATTTCCTGGCTACCCTCAGGGACTCTATGTCCGAACTCTCGCTTGATTCTGCCACTGCGAAAATTCAACTCGCAATAGATCCAACTTTTGCAGCGGCGCGGGGTGCAGCACTTTACGCACGAAGGCGCCAGGAGGTGCCCAGCGAATGCTATGAAAGAGGAGAATGCGAAGAGATGAGGATGCACGAGCGATTACGCACTTCCACGCGAGAGGAACTTCGGTAAACGGGATATAATGACCATCCAACTGCCCACAGATGTCTTTGATGGTGCTGGAATTCAAAAAAAAAAAGATAAGGTCAACTACTAGCTTCCCACATATATTTCACACATTCCATACTTGGACCCCTATATGAAGTCCTATAACTCAAAGCGATGACTTTCAACTTTCGCTCACCGGCCTCCACGGCGTTTCTCAATCCACCGAAACAGTGGAAAAGCGACTCCCGAAAAAGCAAATGTCAATTCATGCCCAATATTTGCGCCTCTGCTACCAATCAAAGATGCAATCGGACCTGAGTACCATGCCACCTTCATGCCAAGTGCCGCACCCAGGAAGCCGAAGGAAAACGCTCCTATGGCTGCCCATCCAAACGGCAGGCCAGCGACGTTGTTCCAGGCATCAAGATCATATCCATTCCATCCCCTCCGAAAAATAAAATGCTCTTCCATGACCAGTGTGATATGGATCACAGTCCAATATCCGATGACACTAAGCAATGTTTGCAGAGTATCAGAGAAATATCTAGCGGCACAGCAGCCAATTATCACCGCTGCGATGGATCCAAAGGTGACTAGAACCACACGGGGGATACGTATAGCCCATGGCCCCATGTTCTGTGCGTGGAGGGCAAAAGAGTAGTTATTTGGGATGTTGTTCTTCAGAAATTAGCAACATATAAAGAAGACAAGGATGGTCAAATGGCATGTCCACTTACTGGGATAGAGCTTAACGCTGCTAGAACCATCAAGAACTTACCGAATCCCCCAGCGGGCTCCAATGCCATCTTGAGAAGACCCCCAATTGAAGAAGCTGTATATGCGTCCTTCCACGCTGCATCAGTCACAGTCCCTGTATATAATGCAGCTCCAAGGGTCTGAACAAGAACAGTAGGAACGAAAATGCCCACATAAGTAGCACTAAAGATATGCCACTGCGGCGTACCTTTAGGCATGCGCACATTATAATCCGCGGCACAGTTCACCCAGGAAACAGAAAAAGAAAAGATCGAAGCTCCATAGGTCAGTATAGCGGCAGCCTTATCAGATCCCTTCAGACCGACTTGGTCATCTCCAGTAAAGTGAGACGCACCCGTGCCTGCTACCACACACCACACAATCAAAGGGGGAATCCAGATAAAGGTATCTAGCCTGTGAATCCAGCTAATACCCAGGATACATATCACCCACACCGATACACATATAACAATCACACCGGCCCATGTAGGGAACCGGCCGTCAGAAAGGGCGTTGAGGACGGCGGCGCCGGAGATGGAGTTTATGGCGTTCCAGCCTGTTGTTGCTATCATTGAGAATATGACAACGAGTATATTGCCCCAATAACCGAATGAATATCGTCTAGGAACAGATATCTCGTTAGGATATTCAGTGTGAATGACGAAAGCGAAGAATCACTCACGAGAACGTTGTCATGCGCAAGCCCGTTAATCCAAATACTGCTGTCCATGCTGGAAGTAGATCGCTTGTTGTGTTTACTACCAGGATGACGATGAAGCAGTCCCAGAAGGAAAGGCCCAGTGAGCCTCCTAGGGAGCCGATGTTTAGGGTAGCCACAGCCATATTGGCACTGAACCTATATATGGAGACGATGTATTAGTCTAATGTATCTGGATGTATAATAGAGGAATTATTTTACCAGAAAGTAGCAGCATTCCAAAACTTGGTTGTATTCTGCAGCCGCTCTTCATCGGTGATCCGTTCAATGCCACCCTCTTCAATGGACAATTTTCTATACCATGGCTGGACAGACTGAGCAGACTCTGGCTCAGACTGAGTCTTGTAAATGGATTTACTGTAGTTGTTCATTTCCATAGGGTATTCCAAATGTAAAGCGGACTTGTCAGGTAGTGAGATCCAGCCGGGGACGCCTTCTTATTATACCTCTATTTTGCCCATTTTACACCTACAATACGTACTCCTATTCTCCAAGTAGACCATTCATAGCTCTCAATAAGCTGATAAGCATATCCTGGGCATATCTGACGCCATATCGACCGTTTCTGACTTGATGCTTATCCCCGCGGCATACCGCGGCATGCCGGACCGGGATGCCCTAAGAACAACAGCTATGTCCACTTCCCCAATTTTCCGCCAAATATAAAATCGCCTCCGTCTGAATTTATTTCCTCTTCTTTTCAATTCGTGTCCTAGTCATTTCTAAGTCGATCAAATGGAACAGCACACGTTTCGTCGCCGAGGTCTCGGCCTCCGAGGAGTCGACGACCAGCGCGTCTCACCAGGCTACGTGCTATACGCACCTCTAACCTCAAACACGGCCCATCTAGTCTCAACAACAGGCAAAGAAGTGCACCGTTGGACCCTCCCCCACAGGGCAGGCCGACACGCCCGCATCCTCCCAAACGGAAACTTAGCCTACAACGGCGTACACCCAGACGCACCCCGACTGTTCCCAATGTGGGCGAAATACCGCGGGGGCGTGATGATGCAAGTAAGCCCAAACGGCGACATAATCCGCCAGTACTCGGACCCGCTGGCCCATCATGACCAGAACAATCTCGAAGACGGCACCATCCTCTACACAACGCTAGAGCCCCTCAGCAGCGAGGAAGCATCGCGCGTGCAAGGCGGCATCCCAGGAAGCGAAGCACCAAACGGCATTATCTACGGTGACTGCATCAAGCTCGTCCAACCGTGGGAATCATCTACCATCTCCTCATCCGCCGACTTCGACGGCAGTGGTGGAAACGGTGGCGCAAAGCTTCTCTGGTCATGGCGGGCAATCGACCATCTTGACCCTGCAGTCTTTGCGGCACACCCGCACTACCCGCGCGAGCATTGGCCGCTGATAAATAGTGTTGCCTTTGACTCTGAGGGGAATATCATCGCCTCGTCGCGGAATGCATCCAGTGTATTCGTGATCAGTCGTGTAACAGGTGAAGTATTGTGGCACCTATCTGCACCGACGGTCAGTCAGCAGCACTGTGCCCACCAGATCAATGACGCGGGTGATATACTCATTTTCGATAATGGGGTTTTCAGGCCAGGGCTTGCGGTTCCATTTTCGCGAGCGATTGTCGTTTCCCGGGAGAAGGTTGTCAAGTGGGAATATAAGGATCCGTCGACTGGGGGGCTGGGGTTCTTTACGCCGTTTATGGGATCTGCGCAAAAATTGAAGAATGGGAATGTGTTGCTTTGTGAGGCTGCTGACGGGCGCATTATGGAGGTTTTGGAGAGTGGGGAGATGGTTTGGGAGTTTGTTGTCCCGCAGTTGGGGGATTATAAGAGGGTTATGGGGAGGGAAGAGTTGGGCGAGATGGAGAGGATGGGATTTGATTGTTTGAGTAATGCTGTTTTCAGAGCTTATAAGTATCTTCCCGAGGAAGTTCCTTGGATTAAGGATGAGTGACAACTGAGGTGTTTGTGAGGATTGGAGATGTGTTTTCGCGTTTAGTATCCTCTCAGCTTCCATTTTGAGGGGGGCATCATATCTCTGAAATTACATTGATTGATATATATCCTTGTCATGTGGGTCTGTATTTGGTCTATTTGTGGTGATACAAGTGTTGTACGCTGTACACGGGCCAGTGCATAGATACATGGAGGCAGGCCGAGACAAAAGAAAAGAAACAACGAGTGGTTGGTATGTATAAGTAGAGAACGTTAGGTGCTGAGGATCAACCAAGGGGTTCACCTAGGTGGGTCTCAGAAGTTGACGGGATAGTCGTTGCACCGTTATCGTGGATTTCCCTAGTTTCTGTCGCGATCTCTTTGGTAACGACTGGTTTCTCGATCTCCTTGACCTTGGTGGGCTCATGGACCTTCCGAATGGATGCGTACTTCAAGAAAACAATGATCATGACTGCCAGGCTAGTTAGTGACGGAACGCCAAAATCAGGTAAAGCCAAACACTTACAGGCACAAATGGCGATGGTCGAAGCCGCACGTCGCGTCAGAATCCATCGAAGGCCTTCGATCTCGCTCTTTCCATCACTGTTAAGGGACACAGTGATCTTGTAGTTTAATTCCTGAACCGAGGTGTCGATACTCCGCTGCTGCTCGCGCGTAATCATTTTATGATCGTTGAACATGCCCTTGATTTCATCTCTCATGCCCGCCAGTTCCTGGCTGAGACGCTGCGAAATGATATCCGTGTCATGCTGCAATTGCGTGCGTGATGAACGTTGACGTTGCACTTCCGAGTTGCGGGCTGTTTGCAGCGATGACTGAAGCTCAGAGCATGCTGCTTTGAACAGATACTCCTCATTTTCGACGTCGGATTTGGAAGTCAGGCTCTCGTTCGCAAGATCAAGATTATTCTGTAGAATGGCTCGCACGGCCTTCATGATGGTAATAGAGTGCTCATTGCTAAATCCGCCTTTGGAAAGATCCTGGACTAAGGAGTATGTATCGAAATGGTGTACATAAGGTGCCGGGGATAGATGTGGCGGGCGATCGTCAGAGGAAGAGGGTCCCCCGGAAGGGGTTAGGTAGACGGACGGAGAGGGCATATGAAGGACTTCATCGAATGGTGTCTGGCCTGAAAATGGAGAAGACTCGGTATTCCCTTCAGGGGAGCTCCCAGAAGTAGATGTTGACGAAGCTGAGGCCTGGTCCTGCTCAGGACTGTCTTCCTCTGCTGCTGCAGACCCTTCGTGTGGTTCCCGATCTGTCGGAGGATCATCTTTCTTTTCTTCGATTGATTCTTGCTGATCTGGATTCGGTCTTGGGGAGGAAGGGGTGTTTGCCGCATCCTGCTTGTCTTGAGGTGGTGGGTCCGATTGTAACTGCTCCGGAGAAGCTCCCTCCTGCTCAGAGGTATTTAGACTCTCATCCTCCGCTGGTACGTCCTCCGGGACCTTATCAGAGGAACCTTTCTTTAGTCGCGACGCTGGGGGAACACTGCGTTCGACAGCCGGACCATAGCGCCGCTGGTAGGCTTCGCGCTCATGCCGCAGACTGGTATGGAAACGGCGATTGGGAGTGTATGGGAATTGTAGGGAACGGTATGTACTCGGTTCGCATGGTCGGACTGCGCGCATCAAGTTCGGATATAAAAATGGGAGCCTTGGCGTGGCCATGACGCGAAGTTGAGGCAGCGTTGAGGTATGAAGAAGACAAACTATTTTCCCGCGGACGAGCTTTGGGTGACGTTGATCCCCCGCGGAAATGGTGATGAGTCAGCATTGAGTTGGCACCCATCAAGTGGACCATCTTCACGTCTTCTACGGAGTACAGTTGGACAACATTAGCTATATGAGGATCGACAAGAACTAATTAGAGGGATTGAAGGATTGAACATTGGCCTTCTTAGCGATCCCAGAAGCGATAATGGCAGGCTACGAAACCAATTGCGGTACAACATATATTGTCTGAAGGGCACTAGAATAGTCACCTGCTCTTGCAGGACAGTCTAGGGAATGCTGTCTTGGTGAAAAGAAGAAGCATCTCATGGGACCTACTAGTGTACAAGTCACAGGATCATTTACGAGCGACTTTCCACAATCCGTCATGGAGAAGCAAGATGCTCAGCCCTGCAAGCCCACGTTATGGTGCAAAGCTCTGGAAATGGAAAGCCAGGTTCAGCAAACAGATAATTCACATTCCCATGACTCAAACGGGAGCTAGTAATGTCTTATTAAGGGAAAATATTATCATGGTTGGTGATGGTTTTGTAGATGTGTCATTCTAGAATGGAGCCGCATTTAACCGGCGTTTAACCGGAGTATAAAAGGTACGTACCGGAGCTCATGTTTATGTCCTCCCATCATCAAATGGCCCATGTAGTGACTTGAGGCATATGGTTTTGGTCCAGGGCAATAAACCAAGATCAGTGGACTTACGTTTGGCCTCATATTACACCAAAAGGCGCGGTGTCTTTGTTGATACCGATGCATTAAAGAACATAATAGACATGCTGCTTTTAAAGAGCAGCTTAGGTCAAGGAAATAATAGATTGCCTATACAGTGTCCAGTTGATTCTGTAGCAGATATCCGTAAGATCATGCTTTGGTGGTGTTGGCCGCGTCGTGTTTGTTGTTTTACCGTTCGAGCTCTCTTCTCTTTTCCTATTCTCCCCTCCCACCCCCCATAACCCACCCGCTTCTTTCTATCCCATCGGATCCATCGTGATCTCTTTCTCTCCTTCATCTACAATCTTTCGTCTTGTCGTCTCGTTTGGGCTTTCAACTCCTGTATTACCCGGGTTGAGTCCTAAGCCTACAACGGCCTGACGAAGCAAGAGTCCAAAGAACACACGCCAGCCCCAATTTCCAAACTCACCCTAGGTTGGCTCAGAGTTAACTTCCTGTCCAAGGCTAGGATGGGGTCTGTACAGACTCCCTGGACCTCCATCCTGCTGCAGGAAAAACCTGGACTGCATGAGTACAATCATGCCCTTCTGAATGTTGACAAGTACTACAGCCGGCTGAATGCGGCCATGCAAAGTGAGAAGGTCCGGGACCAACTATGCCTCAACCCAGATCAAACACACTTTCGCCTTCTGAAGTCCTTCGAAATACTTCGAGTCAAGCAGTTGCCGGGTCCCGTTGCGGAGGAAATATTCAAGGTCATGGTCCTCTCATTTATCAATGACAATATCTTCTCTCCGGCACAACTCATTCAGCTTGTCGGTTCCGCCCTTCCAATTATTACGAAACAGTCCTCCCAACCCCAATACCTGCGTGACGTGGTGGAGGTGCTACTGGCATCTCAGAGCCTGCTAGACCACTTGGTGGCTAACGAGGAATACTCCGCGGTGTTGAAAACATGGATGTCATCAGGAAACAATCTCCCGGTTGCTGTCCTCCGGCAGGTGGGTGATAACGTTATCTCCATGTGCAATGTATGTTCCGCAGACCATGGAACTACCACCATCTCAGGGAGTTGGGATATCGCAGTTCAATTGGAGACATCTCTCATCTCCCTCGAGAAGTCTCACGAGGAAGAGCCCAACCGCGTGACAATAAAAAACCTGCCTCCGCTGGAGGCAATGAAAGTCCTACAATTGGATGACAAAAAGTCCAATTCATCCCAACTCAACAAAGACCACAAGAAGGATCTCCAAATTCCAGACGAACTTCTTGCACACCTACATCGATTCGACATAACTGCACCATTGTCTGTTCGTGGGATTACCTTGGCCTGTGAAAAGGTTCAAAACAAGATCATCCCAGAGCTCCTGCGCTCGGCATTGGAAAGCTTTCCATGCAGAATGTGCCTGGATAGACTGAAGGGGAGCCTAACCCCCCTCATGGTGGCCGTTCAAACAGACATGCCCTCTGGGAATTCAAAACAATTTGATGATGTCCAAGATATCTTTGGCAAGCGGATTGGGCTTTGGAAAGTGTTACTCTCCGATACTGCTCTCAACACTGCAAGAATGCTAGCTGGTGAAGGTAGGTTTGATACCCTCTTTGCATACCCATAATCCGTGGGCCGTGTTGCGCATGACCCTCTGACAGAATCTAGACACACTTCCCGCCGTGGTCGAGGCACTCAAAGCCCTTGCAAGCGGTGAATGGGCAGGTAAAAATCTCTCTCGGCCAGTGGGATCTAAAAAGCAGAAGAAAGCGCTACAGGTTCCCATCATGGCGGCTACTGTGAATTCGACTGTGTCAATCCTATGGCAGATTGATATTGGATTTTACGATGAGCTTCCGTGGATTCAGCAGCATGTCATCAAAGGTAAGCATTTTCCCCTGAGAGAGGAGATAATATGCACTAACTTCTACAGTTTGGCAAATCGTAACCTCGGATCAAGAGGTGAGTTGTGGTTTACAAAAAGCGGTCAATATGCTAATTGAATGTACAGCTTGAAAAGGCGATTGATCAGCTTATCTTGATTCAAACATCCTACTCCCCTAGGCTCAGTGCACTTTGCTTGACACGGCCCATGCAGCAATTCGATGGAACCTGGATCCCGCATCAATTTGACAGCGTGAAAGGCTCTCACCCAAAGCCACCCGATCCCAACCCTAACACAGATCAAGCTTTGATTGGGATGTCAAGTACGGTCTCCATCCACAATCCACCTTTGACGTCGAATGAACCACAGGCTGACCTGGTTGATTCCCTAGACAAGTTTTACAATTTTACCGAGCCACTTCTCAAGTCCCTTCTCGATGGACATGAAGACGACGAGTTTCCATTTGAGCTTTCAGCCCAGGAGTCGGAAGTTGTTAGACACTTCAGCACCTCTACATTGATCTTGGGACGGAGTGGTACTGGCAAAACCTCATGTTTGTTATTCAAGATGCTTGCCAAGCACATGTTGAAGGAGTCGGCTTCGGACGAGCAGCAAGCTCGACAGGTATGTCCATTTTCTCTCACAGGTTAGCAACAGGGATCTGATGGATTATATAGCTCCTCTTGACCCGCTCGCCTTACTTGGCTTCGAAGTTGCAGACCTACGCAAAGTCCCTTATTGATACTCAAGCCACGGCTGCATCAAAACCTCCAGATCAGGATTTTGATCCAAAGCCTACTTCATTCTTTGCTTTGCGTCGTGGGAACTTCCCGGTCATTTGCACTTATGAGGCCTTCCTCGACTTCATGGAGAACACACTCAGGTTTGAACAATGTATTTTCGCTGTTTTCCAAGCCACTAACATAGCTTAGGATGGCGGATCGGAAAGATTTTTTACACGACATCGCCTCCAACAAGACGAAGAAGAACATTGACCGTCAAATGGACATGCTCCGAGTAGTTGACTTCAATATTTTCAAGATTGAGTACTGGGGTTGTTTATCCGGACTGGCCCCAGCCTCTTGTTCTCCAGAACTGCTCTTCGCCGAGATCATGGGCGTCATTAAGGGCTGCAATATTGTTGCAAAGCGATTAAAGTCACTACGGCGTGCTGAATATGTCTCCAAGAATGCAAAGGCTTCCCCTGCCTTTGCCTCTGAGGCTGACCGCCAGAAAGTATTTGCGGCCTTTGAACGCTACGAAAAGCAGAAGAGACAACGCAAAGAGATTGATGAACTAGATCGCGTTACCTCACTCCTCAGATCTCTAGAGGAGAATCCTGCGATTGCACAGCAGGTCCGGCGCTGTTTCGAGGAGATCTACGTTGATGGTATGTCAAAACTCGCTTTTCCTCTCGTTCTCGTCTAACCTTGCTAACTTTCTGTTTAGAAATTCAAGATCTTCGCTGTCTTGACGTCGTCTTGCTTCTGGGTTGTCTGAGCGACGCCCGCGGAATTCATCTCGGTTTGGATCCTTTCAGAATTCTTTAAGTCGAGTGTTTTATTGACTAACATGAATACGTTACAGCTGGTGATACCGCTCAGTGTATCTCGAAGGATTCGGTTTTCCGATTCCCAGAGATCAAAGACTTGTTTTATGATCATTACGAGGTCACTGCTAAGCAGCTGAATCAACCTCTGCTTGCGAAGCCAGTTCAATTCTCCCTGGCAAAGAACTATCGCTCACACCAGGGAATTTTAAGCTTCGCGTCATGGGTGATGCAACTGCTGTGGAATGGTGCGACCACTTTTTATCATCTTTTCTACTGGACTTCCTCTTACTCTTTTTGTATAGGGTTCCCTGAGACCATTGACAAGTTGGAGCCAGAGATTGGCGAGACTGGAGGACCCAAGCCCGTTATCTTTGGTGCGTTAGTTATTCATCTAAGGCGTTGAAATCCGAGTACTGACACTTTGTTCACATAGCTGGGTTTGACGCTTCCATCCTCTCCGCCAAGATGATAGGGCTAGTCAAGCTCAATGACCAGGTTGCTGATTTTGGCGCTGAGCAAGTCATCATCGTCAGAGACGATTTGGCGAAAGACAAACTCCAGACTCAGATCGGCGAAATTGCTCTCGTGCTCACTGTTCTTGAGAGTAAGGGCATGGAGTTTGACGACGTATTGATCTATGACTTCTTCGGCAGCAGTGAGCTGGGCAGCAGCTACCGTTGCCTACACATGATTGCCACTTCTTCGCGGGCACACTTTGACCCTCAAAAGCACGCTGTCAGTACTCCCTGGTAGATATATTAACCTTTCAAATTATGATTTCTAACACGGCTGGCAACTAGGCCCTTTGTTCCGAACTCAAGGTAGATTCTTTGGTGTCAGATATCATAATCTTTACTTACAAATAGTGATAGCATCTCTACGTCGCCGTCACCCGAGCACGAAGGCAGCTTTGGTTTATGGAAACCCAGGGGAAGAGCATTGATCCCATTCTTCAAGCCCTCTCGAAAAGTGGCAGCATCGAACTCGCGGAGTTGGTCAAGCAAAAAGACCCGAATGTGAGATTTGTTCTGATTTAGAAATGCTTTATGCTAAAATTGTGACAGGTTGCTGAAAAGGTCAAAGTCCTGCGAGCTGGAGGCTCCGTGGACCCTGAAAGATGGCTGAAACGAGCAAATCATCTGCTGAATCAGAAGAACTTTGCAGATGTGAGTTCATCTTATCAGCAATTGTTCGGGTCAACTGTGGCTAATAAACATTTTCAGGCATTGTTTTGCTACAAGAAGGCCAAGGATGTTCCAGGAATTGCCCGCTCACAGGCTTGTTTACATGAGCAAGAAGCAAGAGCCTACAAAGCAGCTGGTGATTATGAGAATTCTACCGCTTGCTTCGAGAAAGCAATCACACTTTTCCTTGAAATTGGCTTCATCGATGAGGCCGCATCCTGCTACGAAGTACTTGGGCAATTTGGCAAAGTTGCAGGTTTGTCTCTACACACAATCCGAGTTAAGAAGATATTGACACAATCCATAGCAATCTGGGAAAACCGTGGTCAGTATGTAAAGGCTGCAGGATTCTACGAGAAGGGCAACATGTTCAAAGAAGCCTCCTTGTGCTACCATTTGTGCACCGAATACGAGCAAGCAGTGGAGGTTTTGCGCCGCGGTGACCAATTCGATGAGCTCATCCCCTATATCAACCGGTATGTATGGCGCAAATTCTTCCCCTTCATACAAAGACGCTATGCAGAACAGGATTCAAACCCCCTTTCCGAACGCCCTTGGGATAAGTTGCAAGGCAATGTTAACATTTCATAGAAACCGCGAGTACCTCAACGAGGCCACGCTCCTTCGTTACTCAAGACTATGCAATATTTTACTCAAACAGGGACGAGTCTCTGCGAACTTGAGACTAGCCACAATCAACATGCTCGGAACAGATGCATCTAAGGTGGCTTTCTTCAAAGAGTTCGAGATGTGGGACCAGCTGCGTGGTCTTTTCTACACCAGTGGGAGATGGTTTGAGTATTATGAACTGTCGCTGGCAGTTGGCGATGTCTCTGCAGCTCTGAACACAATGCTGCAGTTCGGACTTTTGCCTGCTGCTGACAAACAGATTGCTCAGATGATGTTCCACTACGCCATGGCAGAAGTCTTTTATGGTCGCAATAATCTGCCTCCTCCTATCTACGAACGGGACAGGATCTTGGGGTCTGTTCAATCAACCTGGCTTGAGCAATTGGGTAAACAATGGAGCGACTTGCACAAGTTTGGTGACGAAATTTATGATGAGAAAGCCTCTATGTCAACAACGAGGCTGCAGAACGGTCTTCTGAAAGACTTCTTTTGTCTCTATGTGAGTTTATAATTTCTCTCTAATTTTAATCACTGAGCTAACTATGTCTAGGCCGTCACCTTTGAGAAAGGTATTTTCCATCGAGCTAACGGATTGCTTCTTCCAATGGACATGATCTCGCGAGTCGGCCGGCTCTTGCAGGATTTCGATGCAAATATCAAGTCTTCATACAACTGCCTAGCCCTTGTTTTTGGTATCTTCGCCGATCCGAAGCAAGACACACTGTCAATTTTGCTTGACTGGTCCCCTCTGAGACATATGGATTCCACAACTCATGCGCTTCCTGAAGATTCCTCAATGCAGGATATGCTCAACTATGCGAAAACTATTGTTCAAGATAGATTCAGCGCAGCATTTGCCCTATTCCATGACACCGCTATGGCTCGCATGAAAACGGACCTCCCGATGCCATGTCTCAATCAGCTTTGGAGAGGTATGTTACATAAATCTCGACATTTCAAGCTTGCTAACCAAATTTAATTAGGTCACTGTCCAAAGGCCGATGACTGCACATACGACCATCAAAAGGTTTCGGATGACATGATTTGTCAAAAGTTCAAGGTGAGTGTGACCAAGGCCGATTTAACTGATTGATTGAAGCTAATAATGTCTCTCTTCAGTATCTTCTCGCCGTCGCTGAGGTTTTTGCGAGAGCCACACCCCTTTATCGAGGAAAATACCTCAAGGAGGACTTCAATAGACTCTTCCTGGGGCGCAGTAAGTCAATGTGGTCCCCAGCAACCACGTCAATACAACTTCGCTTGCTCTTCATATCTAACATGTTCTACAGGGAGATATTGGGTACAAAAGATCCAAGAGGAGCTGCTGCTCATCAGTTCGATGGGTCAATCAGCCCTTGCAATTGCACAACTGCGGCACGCTTTGTACAAAAACCCAGAGTTTATGACAACTGCCTATTGCCTCGAAGATTTGTTTTATCATCGCATGCACCACGAGTGGAGAAGCTACTGCACTCTGACCTCTTTCTTGGACAAAGTTCAGCAAGCTCAAACTCTCGGTAAGATGAATCCACCCTCAAGTTTCAAAGATAGAAGTCCGAATGGAGAATTAACTGGGACTGATAGGACCTCAAACGGCGCAACGATTCCATCGACAAGTGGTGCGTAAGATTGAGCAAAACATGTCTCAAAGCGAACGCAGCATGGGAGGGACCAGGAAGTCCCATCATCCACTCGCAGCTCCCCTGGCCGGATTGAAGACAGCCGAGAGGATTCGCATTGCAGTTGAGAGGCGCAGTTCCGACTTTGTAAGATACACATATTCGCTCTGTGAAGCTATATGTACTAACTTTTCACAGCCGAACGCCGTCAAAGAGTTTCTCCAGTGCATCGACAAGGGCCCTGCATCTTCTCTAACCCATTTCCATGCATTGATTTGTGTGCTCGAGCTGGCAGCCACATACATTGTACGTTTATTTGAGCTTTATGCGAACAGCTCCAGCTAATAATAAGTTTCCAGCTTTCTATGTCAAGCCCGGATAATGCAATTGTAGTACCCTGGTCCTGGGCTCTCTTGCATCTTCCAACAATCATGCTGTCGTCAGGAAAAAGTCACTTCAAAGAAAGGGGGAAGCGTAACTGCACGCAGCTGCTCATTTGTATGGTCTATACCCTATGCAGGGTTATAGACACCATCGAGACTGCGACCAACTCGCCCGAGTTTAGCTTCCAAGGTAAGGGACCGTTTAATACACCGCCGGTTGCGATGAGACGTCGCTACATTGATTTCCTCACGACCGTGCTTCTTAATCTGCAGAACTGGCCCAACCCGCCAAAAGGCCTGAAGGAAATGACCACATTGGTTCATAAGGTATGTTCCTTTGCTTGCATCTATCCAAAAGACTGGTTAACTGATGCAAAAAGACACTGCGTGCCTATCTTCCAAGGAACATGCATATCGGTCTAGTCGGCCATGAGACGTTCCGACAGACTTGCATTCGTGAATACGACGTCTACCACCAGAAAGATGAGATTTGCGTCATTACGCTTGACAACAAAGAAACTGCCCCCTTATTCCTGCGACCAATGGTCCAGAGTAACGCCAAGTTCTGCACGCTAGACGATATTCTGCGCGTCTCTCACGCGATGGAACAACCATCTGTACAGCCCGATCAGGCAGGAGAGACGTCCAATGTCGAAGAATACACATGCTATGAGATCGACATGATTGTCAATCTTCAACGGCGCTGGCGGAAGGTGATGAGCGTATTCGAAATCAACCGTCGCTCACGGGCGACGCGTGAAGGGAAATTGATCCAACGCTTGCATGATATCAGCTCCAACGTCCTTCCAGCAGCTGGCTGGTCTGCCCTGGACAAAATTCACATACGCAAGGTGCTCTTCACCGATGGCGTCCGGGTCATCCGAGATATGGAGGTTCAGCTCGCTTGTCTCCAGCAGTTGAACAATAAGTGGCGCTACCAGTTTAACAACTGCCAGTCCACTATCAAGCTGGAGGAGCTTTCTGCTCTCCGTGGCGACATCCTTGGTCTTGAGAAGAAGCTGAACTACGTACTTGAGAATTGGTCCCTAAGAGGCCTTGAGAAGGGGCTCATGCAGCTGGTACCCCACGTCCTCGGTGCCGGCGCACGGGATGCCCAGCGTACTCTTTTGGCTGTTCAACATGATATGGACATGCTCATATCTCTGGTCCATGCCATTGCGAACAATAGCCGCTAAGGCGGTTTCTTCGTATTCCGTTTAATCGAACAGACATCACAAAAACCAAAAAAAGAAAGAAACAGAAAAAGAAAAACACAAAGGAAAGGAAAAGGAAAGAAAACCGAAAAAAAGGAACACTGCTCTACTCGGGTGCATGTCAGGATATGATCTTAAGTCTGAATAGGTTACCTAGCTAGCTGCGATTGAATGAAGTACTTGTATGAAATCTTGATATCTTATAAAATACCGTTCCTATTCTTCTATTCAAGACGAAGAAATAGAGGAGAAAGTAACTAGTCTTGCAAGTAATCCGTAGAACTATCCGACGGTCGAAATCTAGAGGAGCTTCAATGTTCCGCCAACAAGCCAAAGAGCAGCTCTGTCCGAGCCCAGTACTCGTTTGCAGATTGCCTAATCGTTTCCACAGCTTCGGCGCTAGGATCAGCACTCTTCTGAGCACGGGCGACAACATCAGCCAGCTGATATTGCTCACCGAGCATCCTGGACAGATATAGAGAATCAAAGAAGAGCTGCATCTTCCAGTCCCGCAGGGCTTCGACTTGGCTTTCGGCATTGTATTCTACGGGCTTCTTCTCTTGATCCTTGTCACCTTTTGTGGCAGGCTCTTCATCATTGGTCTCGGCCTTGCTTGGGGAGTCTGGGCTTTCGAGATCATCGAGAGAGGATGCAATAGCAGTCTCTAGTTCTTTCTTCAGGGCTTGTTTCAATGCTTGCACCGTTGAGGGATCCCACAGATCTGACCCGCAGGTGTCCATCGTTGAAGTAAGACGACGCAGGAACTTGAAAGTCGACGCAGAGGGCTGAACTGGTACGGCTGGGTTGCCTTCCCATAATGACCGACCTGGTACCATCTTGGCTTTGCCTGTTTGTGGATGCGTCTTCGAAGATGGCAACATCTTCAAGGAGCCGGCCTTGGCGACAGCTTCTGAGGCAAGCAACTTCTGCAACTCCGGAACAATATCACTTGAGAAGACAAAGTCCGCTGCCACAAATCTGGCCGGGATATCACGCCGTACCAATCGAATGAGCCTTAGCAGAAAAGTAGCCTTTTCGCTCGAATGCGATGAGCCGAATGATTTGAATGCGCTACTAAATGATGTTTGTAGGTTGTTGAATGACTCCCGGACTGCGGAATGCAGAGCATCAGACAGAAGACGTGGGTCATCCTCGTTGAGTCGAGGCGTAATGTCAATATCTTCGTCCTCAACCTCTCCACCAACGAGAATATCTGTCCACCGCATGCGACGCAGAGAGACGATAGACTCATTTACTTCTTGGATTGATGTGAGCCACGCTTTATACGTAACGAGAACAGTCGACACGTCTTCATCCCGACCAAGCAGTCTGTCTGCCACAGTTTGTTTAAATGTCTGTGCGCCATTTGAGTACTCTGCGACAATGAGATCACCATCCCACAGAGAACCAACAGATTCATGCTCTTTTTTTTCCCAGTCCAAGACAATGGAACAAGCCCGGCCTCCGACCTCTTCCAAACTCAGTGCTTGTACCTTTAGGATCCGTGATAGCTGGTCATTGAAGATCTTTCGCAGCCTCTCCAACACATCAAGTGATCCATGGATGATGGTTGAACCCCAAGACGAGAGCCATAATTCAATAGTTGCCGTACGCAGGGAGAGAAGCTCAGAGAAGTCGTTGCTGTGAGCCAGGTCTTTCTCGCAGCCTTCAGCGAATTTCTCGAACGCCTGAAGTGACCAATCTTTAATCGAGTCAACTCCATCAGTCCTATTTAGCTCACTCAACTTGATCCAAGGAGTGAAGTTTTTGACATCTGGAGCCACCCATCGACCCAGAACTTCAACTTCCAGTCCATCTAGACTGCGAATCTCCGGGTCTGCGAGAATCGGTCGAGCCTTGAGTTTCGAAAGCACGTCTGAGAACTGACGGTGTCGCAGGACCTTCGATGCCTGCAGTGTCCGGACGAATAGTTGAAGGGCCTTTGGGATATTCTCACGAGACAGATCGAACTGGCTTGCAATGACATCCAGACGCACTTGATGGAAATGGTGGATCGCATCATCGGAAGAAGAGCTAGTTGCGAGACAATACGCCGCCAACGACTCGATGATATTATCTTCCGTTGCCCCGGTGGAAGCAAGGCGCTTTTCAATTCGTTTGAGAAGCGTTCGCCGCAGGGATGCCAGTTGATTCCGCAGATCATCAAGGAATGGAGGAACTGATTCGTGTTGCGATAATGTCTTATGTAGTAGTCGGGAGACAACGAGAATCTTGGAGATTAGCAGAAGAGATGCACGGCGTCGTAAAAGTCTGGTGATAGATGTGGTACACCTATGTAGGAGCGCAAGCTGAGCGCCGAAGGCATGTTTATCTGCGTCTGCAAGCACATTAGTCGTCAATTCCTAACATTTTGGCAAGCACCGTACCCTTCTCCACATCACCACACTTAATTTGTCTACCATGGACATGCTTCCTTTCCACCAGTCGGGGGTTGCATCGGCGTCCAACATCGGCGAGAACGGTTTCCACGTCCTGGATATCGCGGTTCATAGCCACAATTGTCTCGGCAGTTCCCACCAAATCGCGGTATCTCATTCTGCAAAGACGCGCACTAATATCAGCATCCTTCTAGGCAACTCCGCAGACTCAATCACTTACCCCACGAGAGCTCGGAGCTTCTCCTTATTGCTCGCAATGTCCCGGCGCAACTCCTGTTCCACACGGCGAACCGTGGGAATCGGATACTGAAAGGCATCATGCCATGACTTCAGGCTCTGAGGATCAGGTGCCTCGGGGGCCATGCTGGCGGGATGTACAATGAGATGCGAGCTTGTCACGGAGAACAAGTAATGCCAATGCGTTTGGTGCCTTGGCGCCTGAGTCCCTGGTTACTCAGCCTGCCTTATCAGCACGTGATGCAAAAAATGTCCCCGCGATCTTCCCCTCGGCGGTTGAACTTCAATTTCATGCAGAAGATGTTCGATATGCCGTCGATTGATCCCGAGGCTCCGATGGAGTTGTCATCTAACGACCTACCGGACCGCCTCCCTTTCCCGCCAACAACCTACTCTCACATCCTCCATTGCTCCTACCACGACTGGCATCCGCGGTATGCTTTTAGATATGACTCAATGCGAACTGATCTGACTGAAAGTACATAGATACCGCACACTCGTGCCTAAATCGCGCTGCATTCCTTTAACAACCGCTTTCGTCGAATACCTCCGCGCCGACGGCATCGTCCTCCCACCCGAAGCCGCTCCTCCAACCGACGATGATAACCTGGACACATTCTCCGACTCCGGCGAAGAGGAAGCCGATCCTTCCACTGAATGGGCGGGGATTCACACCCAGATAAAGAATACTATTGCTGAATTTGGCGGCATTGTTACCCCAAAGTTGAACTGGAGTGCTCCTAAAGATGCGACCTTCATGTCCGCCACAAACGATACCCAATGCCGCACCCCGAATGACATATATCTCCTTCTGAAAAGCAGCGATTTCATCACCCATGATCTGGATCACCCATTTGATGACTGTGTGCCGGAAACAAATGACGATACACCCACATCCACTGTTGACTCCCCATTGCCGGAGGTGCCATATCACCTGGTTCTCCGTAAGTATGTCAACTTCAACCCGTCCCTTGAATTCCGCTGCTTCGTGCGCAACCGTGTACTGCTGTGTATGAGTCAGCGTGATCAGAACCACTTCGACTTCCTCTTCCCTATGCGCGACATGCTCCGGTCCCGGATTCAGTCATTCTTTGATGAAAAGCTCAAGGACAGCTTCCCGGAACCTAACTTTGTGTTCGATGTATATATTCCCGCGCCTCACCAGCGTGTCTGGCTGATTGATGTGAACCCGTGGGCACAGCGGACAGACCCGTTGCTTTTTAGTTGGTTGGAGATCCTGAACATGAAGGATCCCGTTGGTGTGCAAGAGGAAGATGATGGAGCTGAGGAGTTTGTGAGAATTTCACTCCGTGATGGCAGCATCATTACTTCGGGAACCGCGGAAGAGTTTGACGAAGGAGATTCAAGCTCCGAATCGGAGGAAGAGAACGATGACCCCGAAAAGGATGAAGAAGCCCCCTTCCTCCCAGAATTCCGTCTTATCAAGAAGGATGATCCGGAAGCATATGCGTTCAGCTCAACACAGTATTCGGCTCATAAGGTGCCGAAGGAGTTGGTGGATGCTTCGCTTGCTGGACCTGGCGGCATGAGCGAGTTCATGGGCAAGTGGCACGAGATTCTTAAGCAGCAAGAGCAGGAGGATCAAGCAGCGGGTAGTGACTCGGACTAAACATCTACGGCTCAGGGCGTTGTCTAAAGCATGCTTAGTTATGGCGTTTGGATAGAGTAGGAATATGATGATTACGGCATTGCATCGTGAATGAATACAACAATTTACGAAACTTCCTCGTGCAGTATATCCTGAAAATAATATATTCTTATCCGAAAGTATAAACCCCCACGAGCTATATACAAAAGCATACCATACCACCTCAGAGCTTATGCTTCTTCTCACCAGAAGCCAACTTCCGGAACTCCTCCTGCGGCAAACCCATCATAAACCGCTCAAGCCCCATAAACGCCTCAAGCCCATTCTGACGATCCAAAAGCTCCCTCTCAGGCCGCCTAACAAGTTCCTTAATCTTAAGCAAACTAGACTGATTCAAATGCGTCCCAAGCCTCTCCTCAACCTCTTCGAGAACAAGCTTCAAGAACCCATCAGAATCTTCCTTATTACCACTAGCCGGCGCAAACACCTTATTAACAAACCCAGCAGCAACAAGTTCGTCACAGGTAATCCGCTTGCTCATGATAAGCGCCTCGTTCGCCTTGGCGATACCAAGCCGCTCGACGAAAGCGCGGCTTGCGCCGCCTTCGGCTACAAGGCCGAGCGAGGAGAACGGTGTTAGGATGAATGTGTGTGGAGCTGCGTAGATGAAGTCTGCGTGGGCAACTAGTGCGGCTGAGAGTCCGACGGCCGGCCCGTTCAGGGCGACTACTAGGATCTTGGAGTGAGTGTAGAAGGTGCGGGTTACGTCGACGTTGTTGGCAACGAAGCCGCGGACCAGTTCACGGCGGCCATTGCCGCTTAGGTCGCCGTTTGGTCGGGAGCTGGTTACATCGGCGCCGCTGTGGGTTGGTTGATTATGGTTAGTTTATTATGCTTCTCAATTGGTTGTGGTTGTGGTTGTTTGGCTGTTAATTGGGATACATACGCTGAGAAGAATCGGCCGGTACCGGTTAGGACGGTGATGAAGATATCTTCGCGCTGGTCGATCTCGCGCAGACGCTCGGCTAGTAGGTAGTAAAGGTCTTGGTTGAGGGCGTTTAGCTTCTCGGGTCGGTTGAGAGTCACGATCGCAACGCGATCTTGGTAGGTGACGGTGATGAGCTGTTCGTTCGACATGATTGTAAGTGACGAAGAGAACAGGAATTGCAGTCCCGTCTAGATATAAATGTAGCTGCGGTATCGATTATTTTGCGGGGAGCCGAGGCCCGCGGTATGAATGGCGCCTGAAAAACAAGGTGTCTGTTTACCCTGCTTGCTCACATAATCAGGCCCTTGACTGGCTGTGGCGCCACTCGAGTTGAAGATCATCGCGAATATTTGGTGCTTTCACTTGATAGCAGAAGATCAATTGCAGATTGCAAACATCGCAGCAGTCTCACCGACATCCAATTCCCTCAAACCCGCACCATCCGAATACCAAATTTCGTCCAAAAAAAAGCACATCTGCAGAACACATACACAATACCCACCATGTCGCAATTCATCCGCAAGCTGCAAGGCGGCAACCTGGAAGTCTTCAAGGTAAATAACAACCAAGCACTAACTCCAAAGAAAACCAAATCTCACACATCCATCTCGCTAGTTCGGCATGTACGTCCTCTTCCCAATTGGCTGGATGTACTATTTCGGCACGAACCTCGACGACCGCTTCGCCACAAAGAACTTCTGGCCCACTGCCGAGCAATCGAACAAAATCCCGCTCGATAAGGAGGAGATTGATCAGGAGCTGGCGCGTATGCGGATGGTTGATTCTGTGCGGAGGGAGCGGAGGGAGGCGCAGGCGGCTCAATTTGCTGCTGCTCAGGCACAGGAACAGGCACAGGCACAAGCACAGGCACAGCAGAATGAGCAATGAGTAACGCGGTGCTGAGTGTTATGCTCGGTGATATGGGTGAGAGGGGTGGGTGGCATAGACTGGGATATGACATGCGCGCATTGTCAAGGTATCTGGGAAGAGTTGGGTCTTGCAACGCAGCAATTGGGACATTCCCTCTCTTCGCTGTGAAATGACCGAAGGGGGACTGGCATCGCGCTGGGAGTTACACATGTGCTGATGGGAGTTAACGTTACTTGTACAACACTCTACTCTGGGCATCGAAGGCGTTCTGGGGTTCTGGTTTTTCGTTATGGTTATATCAACCATCTACATATTCTGTATATCATCTAGATGGACAAGTCTGCAAATACCAACTTAAATCATGATCACGTTCCAATGATAAGATATACAGGTATCAATCGGTCACAGGCGTAAGCCAGGCAAGGCAAGTCTATCAGCCCGCGGCACGAGAGACCCCGAGAAAATAAACGACAAGAATTATTAATAATGCGGTGTGCCGCACTGCGACAATGCAAGTGATAGGAATGCCCCTAGTTCCCAGAACACAAGAACTCCAAGAAGCGCCAGCCAACTAGAAAAGGGATATGCAAGGGTTCCCATGAAAGTGTAGACATGGGCCTACACCCAGGGCATTAAGAGCATATCCACTCTTAGCGGCCAGAGAGAATGCAAATGCAGCAATTTCCCTTAACGGGCTTTTTTCACAATTCAGCCATGCGGGCAGTCGTGGCTGCGGCCGCATTCTTTGCGGTTTCGTACACCATCTCTCCCATTTGTGTGGCAGTCTCTCCGAAGATGGAACTGACTGACAGCCGGCTGGAGCTGAACAGGCGCTCGCCGGCCCAGTAGTAGTAGAGGCGGCCGTAGATGGCGCGGAGGTGGTCGGGGAGGTAGATGTAGATTCCGGCGGTGATCATGGTGATGAGCGTGAGGAGTAGTGTGTCTGAAAAGAACAGAGGGTTAGTCTTTCGTATTCGAAGAGATCTGGACGGTGGTGAGGGACGCAACGTACTGAAGATGAGTTTCTCGATTGGCGTCAGCATGTAGATCGCAAAGGTCACCTCATACTGGTAGATCTTGAGGCGCACCCATCGGATGACAGTGGCAATGGCCCAGATGATGATCTCCATTGTTGCGGGGTTACCGAGGGAATTGGAGGATGGCCTGGTCTTTGGTGCCTGGTGCGAAGAGGATCGGGAAGCGGTTCGTTCAATTTTTTCTGGGTTCTCTGGATCACCAAGTCACGCTGTGTATGAGTGTGCGGAGTAGATCAGGCGGAAGTCAAGGCAGACACTTTGCGAGCTGCGTTGCAAGATGGAGTGTCGTGTCGTGCAAAGAACGATGTTTTAATCAACACGATTCGGGGAGGCTGAGGGAGCGGCCGAGACCACCGGAGATCGCGGGGAGGTGAGCGGGTACTCAGGGGCGATTTTAGGATCGGAGAGTGTGTGTGTTGGAAAGCCGACGTGAGAGGGGCAGGTTGTTATATAGCTGGGTTGACGATCAAGAAGAGATTCGAGGTTGGGGGAACTGCAAAAACCTTCCCCTGTCCGTAGATCGTGTGCCATGTACCTTGTACCTCGGGTTCCCGCCACTATCCGCCTAACCGTCAGGTAGTTAGTACTTGTTTCAGGTTGACAGCTCGCCAATTACTACAATTTGGCTAACTTATGTGACCAATGTTGTCCATGGTCATTATTTAGATCAATCTATTCCAAATAGTCTACTGCTTGTCAATTGTACGTGTACCTGGAGTGGGTGCCTCACTTTGCAGGCAGGTTTCATAGATTGACTCCCGAGTTCTTCAATATAAACCGATTTCAATTGCATACACGGCTCTGCTAGTACTAAGAGCATAGCAGTGCAATCAAATAAATATCTAGCCGGTAATGTTAGATCTGTTTCAACTTCAGTATAAAATGCCAAACTTTGCGATACTCCCTTATCGCTTATCAGCCAACCTCAACCTCGATAACTTCACCTCCAACGTCCTCCAAACAGCAACAATGCTCCCACGCCTCCGGGGCTTAGCGTCCCAAATAGCAACTCAAACCCGCCTCTTCAGCCAAACCCCAACAACACCCGCAAAGAACCTCCCCCCACGTCTAAAAATCAATGACGCAGACCTAACAATATCCTACCTGAAAGGCACAGGACCAGGCGGACAGAAGATCGTACGTTCCCACATACAACCCAACGAGCCCCTATAAGCAGACCCAAGTCCAAAACAAACCACACCAAAACCAACACTAACATCCCCAGAACAAAACCAACTCAGCCTGCCAAATCAGCCACAAACCCAGCGGGGTAGTAATAAAATGCCAAGCGACACGGTCCCGAGCCCAGAACGAGAAGATTGCGCGGTCATTGTTAGCGGATCGGGTTGAGGCGCTGTTGAAGGGAGATCAGAGTCGGGTTGCTATTAAGGCTGAGGCGGCGAGGAAGAAGAAGGCTAGTAAGTTGAAGAAGACTAGACGGAAGTACCGGGAGCTGGAGGGGAAGGAGGGAGATGCGGATGGGAATGGGAAGGTAATGGTGGAAGAGGAGATACCGGAGGGGGAGGGGGAAGTGGGAGTGCAAGGGAAAGAAGAGAAGGAGGTCGAGGTTGAGACTCGGATTGTGGAGGAGTCTAAGAGGTCTGGGAAGGGTGTGTGATATATACCACTTTGCTTTTTTGGGTTTTGTATAGTAGGTCTACTGGGATACTGGGATGGTATCTAGGCGTTTTGATAGATTAAGATAGTCTCAGGAGACTGCATCAATAAGCATTTATTTCATGGATCTAGGGTCTCATAACATGCATGGGGTGGGGGTAACAGGGAAGATTTGCGGGATTGAAGAGAGCAAAGGCGCATAGATGGAACTTTTTTCGTTTCTGAAGCAGAAGCAAAGCAACAAATCAAGCCCAATTTACGAAATGTAGCTACCCAACACCTTGCGCGGCTCGTCTTCAAGACGCTCTTGGGCGAACTGCGACACACGACCATTATGCTTGGTGTCGGCCTCCTTAAGGTATGAACCAACCCAAGCCTTGAGGTCGGCGCCGGTTTCGGGCCAGGGGTCCTTTTGCTCGGCGCGGATGGTGTTGAGAGGGGTGAAACCAACACCGAAGGACATGTCCTCGATGTCGGCATCGGCAATCAGATCATCTCTGCTGACAGGCAGTGGGGGAAGCTCGAGGAGCTTCAGCAAGGCCATGCAAGTGAGTCCCCATCCCTTCAGAGCATAGGTAGTACTAAACTCTTGCGAGTTGGCGAGGGTCTTGGTGAAGGAGATGATGGCAGTCTTGCGGTCCAAGGGCCGGGCAAGCTTCTGGGTTTCGGGCAGAATGACGTGGAGGTAAACCTGCTTGAAGAGTCTAGAAAGGAGTTAGCATTAATGCGATTTGAGAAAGGTGGATACGCACCCTGCTTGAACCTTGTCTGTGACATTGATGAAGAAGTCGGCGCTGTAGCCCTTATCGTCATGTGCCGAGATAAAGTGGAAGAAACGTACAAAGCGCATGGTGAGGTTCTCAGTCTTGGAACCTTGCAAGCGCTGAAGAATGATCTGCATGATCATAATGAAGTAGTTCTCGAGGGCAGATCTGGGCAGATGTTAGTTGGTAGTCGATTGGGGGGCTGTAAAGGTACGTACGGTGGGAAGTTCGCAACAACTGTCTCCAATAGGTCAAATCCAAAGCTCTCGTTGGCTTTTGTGGAAACCAGCTTCTGGAAGATACCAAGAATGGGCTCAATCTGATTGTGCTCCATGATGTACTGCGAGCCACGGGGAATGACCGAGGAAAGCAGGCGGACCAAAGCAGGGATGTTTCCCTTTGAGTCCCACATCACAGGCATCAGGATGGGACCAATGAGCTCCTGGTAGTAGGTGGGAAGGGTGGCAGACGAGTTGGCCTCGAGAAGGGCCGCGAAGAGTTGGAAAACATAAGGAATGAATTCTTGCACATCTTCCTGCAGGATGCTGGCGAAGGGGGCATAGAGAGCCTGTTCGAGCTTGTCCGGGTTGGCAGGAGCAGCGAATCGGATGAAGGCACCCATGGCCTCGAAGTGGAAGTAATAGAATCGGGGGTTGCTAGGGTTCTTCCGAATGATCTCAGTGATGTTGATGAGTCGTTGAAGAACGACATCCGCGAAAGGCACAACGCCCTCCTTGACAACGACCAAGACTCGCATCACACATCGCATCAAGAACTCGTTCTCTTGAACCTTCTCAGGAGCCGGGTCGTTCTGGATAAGCTGGAAGATGTGCTCCAGGAGGTCCTTGGCCAGCGGTGTGATCTCAGCGGGCGAAATCACGGGCTGTCCCTGGCCATCGCTGAGGAACAGTACACGCTCCAGAGCAATGGCAGCGTATGTGTAGACAACAAAGTTAGATGATGCCAAGTGGTTCACCAGCACAGGAAGAACCTGTTGCCACTGCTCCTTTGTGATAATACTCCTGAAGCTGTATAGATACTTGATGGCATCGACCTTGAGAATAGGGTGAACACCAGTGTCGGAGATCAAATCAGCGGCAAGGTTCTGCTGGAAGTAATCGGCAATGCTGACCAGTGGGTTGGTGACAGTAACACCGTGTGTCGAGGTTGCAGTACCCTTGGCAGCGATAGCAGAGTAAAGGTAAGTCGCAGTGTCCTTGGCCTTCCAGTTGGTTGGATCCTTGGCATATTCGGCCAGGTAGTGTTGAGTGTACTTCAAGACAACCTGGGTCACTGAGGATTCAAACTTCTCTGCCAGTCGTCGTAGGAAGTCAGTGGCAGCCCGGCGTCTGGTCTCACTGTCGGATCCTTCCAAATCCCGACGAATAAACTCAATGGGTTCATCCTCAAACAACTCCTCATCCGACTCACGCAAGCTCACGTTCGGCAGGATGACCTTCTCAACGATCTCAGCCTGGACACCCTCGGCTTGGAAAACCTGAGATTGCTCCGGCATGCTTGCGACAGAGCTCAAGAAGTGGAGAGCTCGGCTGACCAGGATATCGTACTTGGTCTCATGACCAATGGTTGTGAGGAAGCTCCACGAGCTCTGAATAAACTGTTCAACGTGAGGCTGGAACACATCCATGTACTTCTGAGCGTAAAGAGTCAAAGCCTCAAAAATTCCAGCGCGGACATATTCCAAGAGACCAGCCTCGGTCTCATCATCTGTGTGCAATAACTGGTTGTCGTAGGTCAGGTATTTGAGGAAGATCGCGGCGATTCCAGAGATGTTGTCTTCGAACATGGGAGGGAGATCGTGGGAGGAGAGATCGTAGAACAGCTTAACCATCAGGTTGAGCTGAGTGAACCCTTGGGTCAGATTCTCTTTGTTGGACTTGTTTTGTTCAAGGTAGTTATCCAGAGCCTAAAAGATTGTTATTATCCAGTCCGCTCGAGTAGATGGGAAGAAAATGGGAGATACCTCAAACAGGGCCAGGAACGGAGTGCCAAACTTGCCAAGAACATGGTTGATCTCCGTATAAAGCGCATCGGACTGGAACAAAGGTCTCCATCTCTTGAAAATGGAGTGCGCGACTTGGAGCACACCAATGTTGACGGTAGGGTTGGTCGGCGACAGCTTGGAAACAAGATCCTAAGCAGGCCAAAGGGTCAGCATTGCATCATCACGCTAGATTGGACAACTTACATCCACGAGAGTTTGCCACTGCTCCCAGAAGTCACTGTCGGCGATCACACTGATGGCCTCACCCAGCTGGCTCTGAATGCCTGGAGGGACCGAGATCATCAAGTTGATCAACTCGCGCTTGAGGGTCTCGACCTCATTGCTCTGCAGCTTGTGGTTTCCGTCCTCATCGGTCCAGTTCCGCTTGATGAAGTTCTTGAAGCAAAGGGCACTAGCAAGGCGTGTGTTGTAGGGCGTGGCATCCGATGCGGTGATGTGAAGAAGCTGTAGCGAGAATCCAGGTTTCTGTTCTTCCTGTCGAAGGGCGGCCTCGGCTGGAGTAAAAGAAGATCAGTCAGTACTGCTTCCAGCATCCACTCGGTCTCCCCACTTACCTTCCTTGTTCCTTCTGGGGTCCAAGCTTGCCTCTAACAGAGCTCCAAGACCCTCCGCCATCTTGTACGTGGGGTATCAACAAAAGTGAGGGGAATAAGAAAAAAAGGCAGGAGAAGAGATGGCAGACAGAGGTGGCAGATGATAGGTATTATGTATGCCAAAGTGGAGGAGAGATGGCAATCACAGACAAAAAAGTTATCGCTCAGAGGACAATAATAAATAACTGATAATTGTACGGGCAGCCCACATCAACACCCTAGGCCGGATCTGGTTAGCACGTCACATGCTTGAGCCTCATGCCTCAGGCGTACATTTGCATAACGAACCTTAGTTACACACTTCTACTTAACATTGGTTGTATAACTTGTTCTACTTTTCTTTTCGACTTCCTTCCATTGTCGCTAATAAAAGTAGAGTCCGCCGGTAGTACTGTCTAAATACTAGAGAACTAATTTGCATGCATATATATCTCTGCCCACCTCAATGTCCTTATCACTATAAAAGCAAATGATTTTAATATATGAGAAACGGTATAATTCATCATATGAGTTCATATGTCTAGTTTACGTATGGTTTTTATATCGTTCAATGGCTTTTACGTTTGGGTTGAATCCTCTTCATGTTTTAGGGTTGGAAGATTTCCTACGCTGAAGCGAGCTCCCTCATAAACCAATGGAAACCGGTGGAAAATTACAACTTAGGTGGCTATGAATAGTTTCATATTACTTGAGGACATCATGGAATTAAGTGAGATTGGGTCACATAAGGATGGAATATCAATGGATCCTTATACTTGGTAGAGCAAAGAGACTATTGATCTTAGTATGGCAGCATACAGTACATAAAAGTCAAATGCTAGTAGGAAACAGCCTTTTACGGTTAAACTGTACACAAAATAGATTCAGCTGTATGTCGATTCAACCTTTTGTTTGTAGACACTTCCCCATTGACGTTACTTCATGTTTCCTATTGAGCCTAATTATCATAAAGGTATATACATATGGGCTACCTGGATAACCGAGCGGCGTTGCAGCTTCTGATGCAGCCTAAGCGTTTTCTTTCAGCTCGACTATCACCTTTTCCTCCGGCCTCTGAATATGCACGCCTGGCACATCTCCCTGTGGAAGCTTCCTCGCCATCGACACAATATGCCAAGGGGAGGGGGCATCGCGGAAAACGTGATTCAAGGCCTCGAGGTTGCGACCCATTGTTTCCGGGTAGAATAGATATACCGTGACAGGAATACAAGCCGAGATAACGGCGTAGATGATATAATATTTCCATCCAATCGTGTCGAGCGCAACAGGGGTAATCATCACGACGATAAAGTTCCAAAGCCACTTATTTGCCGTCGACGCGGACGACATAGCAACTCGCAAACGCATTGGAGCAACTTCGGTGCAGTAAAGAAAGTTTGCGCCGGAGAAGCCAATTGGGTAGAACATGTTGAAGAGCCAGATGAAGGCTACGGAGACGATTGATAGTCCCTTGGAGGCATTATCAAAACTTGTCGTGATGGCCAACACTATCATACAGAGAGACATGCCGGCACCGCTGACGATGAACACCTTGCGCCGGCCGAGGCGGTCAATTGCGAAGAAGGGAATGAAGTTGCAGACGAGTTTCCATGTCAGTGCACTGGCGCCGAGAATCCGAGACAATTCTGCGCCTAGATGCAGGTTCTCCTCGAAGATTGTCGAGATATAAGTAGAGATCAAGTTGCCGCCACACATCTGCTGGAAAAATTGAATGACGAGGCAGAGAGCGAATCGGTATAGGAGACGTTCCTCATCACTCCCTAGAAGTAGCTCTCGCAATGTGAGGCTTTTTGACTGCGCCGTGAGTTCCAGCGATGACTCTATAGTGGCAATCTCCGTCTGCACTGCTTCATCATCTGCAGAGAGGCCTCGGTAAGCTGCTAGACTTTGTGCTGCTTCGTCCGTCCTAGATACAAAGACCAGCCATCTTGGTGATTCGGGTAGCAGAAATACAGACCCGAGAATAGTCAGGGGGAAGAGAAAAGACAGTGCTAATGGAACACGCCACTGCGTTTCACCAGCCGTCTTGCTGAAGCCGTAATCCACCCAATTGGTGATCACGAAACCAAGCACCATGCAGATTCCATCAACCACGACGTGTTGTCCACGATGCTTTGCAGAGCTACATTCGGCTTGCCACACCGGAACAGTAGCGCTGAGTTGCCCTATGCCGATACCAAGGATGACTCGGCCAAGGGTAAACTGAATTATATCGTAGGAAGATGTCTGTAGCAGTTCCCCAATGATAGTGATGATAGCAGCCATAAATATGGTCTTCCGTCGGCCAAGGCGATCACCAAAGTAGACGCACGAGAGTGCTCCCACGAGGGCCCCCAGTTGAAGAGATGCAATGACTGCACCCTTCCTTGTCGAGTTTGTTTTCTTGATTGCACCCTTGGTGTTGAGTGTGTCGATCTCTGGGAAATGGGAGACCCTAGGAGTTGGTCAGCCTTGTCAGTTATTCCAATGTCAATTTGCCGAAGAATACTACCATGACTGCAAGCTAGCAAGCGGTGCTACTCCAGCTTGATTATATCCGTAGCTGATGAATGCAGGTGCTACTGTGAGAAGCAGCTGCGCGAGATGAAGCGTTTTACCCCGAAGCATGGTGTCGGAGATAGGTACAGGCAAATTGTGATGTCGATCCTTTTGCTCCAAGGGAGATCCCCATTTTATATCTTTACCTCAATCCAAAAATCTGGGGACCCCAGAATCTATTTTCTGGAGACAAATTCAAATTGCCACACGTGTGGGTTGTTGCCCTTCCGCGGAATATAAGATGCCGTGGCTCGAAATGAGTCGAGAAAACCTAATTTCGAGTTCTATCGAGTCTGCCGTGTTTATTTCCCTTTTTAACACGTCCTATCCCATTGCATCCTTGGGTGTCGCGCCGAGGTCGGCCCTATACCGTTGCCTGTGGCCATATCAGCTACTAGTTATAGAACTTTAATGTTATAGCCACACCCGTCGCATTGAAAATCGTCAGATATCAGTATCATATCATTTACAATGTCATATCTGCCTACATTGCAGTCCCAGTATATTTTTACTATCCCGAGATCATAAACCGCAATCTAGACGCTTTAATCTCTGTGGCTATGTCTCACGATACACCTCGCCGTAACATATCGTTGCTCTGGTCCGTACTGTATCACCAGGGAAAGTAGCTGGGGGGTATTTGTGGACGGCTTCTGAAGGAGTACAAGATTTGAGAAAAAGTCGAGAACGCATGAACGGGGAGAGGGCAAACGAGCGCGTAGATATCTAAAACAAAGCAACCAGATGCAAGTCAAAGCAATCAGATAGTTTGCCGATCGACTAAGCATCTATCCTTCAATTTTGCCTTTCCTACGGTCACTACCAATCGCCTGCACAAACTTCTGAGATGGGCGATCAAGAGAATATAGGGGAGCAGGGCTGGCCACGGTGTACCGTATCCGCGGAATATGAGATGCCGCGGGTGGGCTTTGAGCCGGCACGGGCGTGAAAGACATGGAGTTTCCGCAAGTGAATGGCAGAGGCAAGGCGTGAAAGCCAGAAAATGGTATAATATTTAGTCAAGCTATTTATCATGGCACTGCCCGCTGGAAGCCAAAGAAATCACCTATGCGAGGGACCCAGCATCTACGCAACATCATGACCAGAGCAACCTCATTGACTACCACGGAGCCTCCCGCGCTACTCAATATCCATCAGCTCAATGAAAAACTCTCTTCGCCATCAAGGAGGGCGTTTCCTGCAGTTTGGATGAGATCTGGCACTTCAAAGGGTCTCTTCGTCCACAAAAAAGACCTCCCAGAATCTACTAAGCGCTGGGAACCAATTCTGGTATCTGCCATGGGATCTGTCGGAGGAAATGCGAGACAGATTGACGGAGTGGGTGGTGCTACATCTACAACTTCCAAGGTAGCAGTCGTTGCAAAATCCCAAGACCCTAATGTCGATGTCGAATACACGTTCATCCAAGTAGCGCCAGATCAGGCCAAGATTGACATGACTGGAAACTGCGGCAACATTGCCTCTGGCGTGGGGCCTTTTGCGCTTGACGAAGGGATTGTGAGGGCGACTCCGGGACAAACGGAGGTGAGAACATCTACGCTCCAATGGACGTCAGTTTAATTGCAACTTACTGATCGATGTACTCAGATCGATATTCGGATCCTCAATACCAACACTAGACAGACATTAGTGGAAACAGTCCAAGTGGCTCCCGGCGGAAGCTTTCAAGAGGATGGCGACTTTTGTATTCCCGGTGTCCAAGGCACATCGAGTCCTATAAAGGTCGCATTTCTAAACCCTGGGGGCAGCATGACGGGCCGGATGTTTCCCAGTGGGGTACCGCAGGAGATTCTGACTGTTGATGCTCTCTCTGCGGGAACATTCCAGGTGCGAGTTAGTCTAGTGGACGCTGCAAACCCCTTTGTCCTCGTAGACGGATCTTCGATTTCCATCAAGGGCCACTCCTCTTGGCCAAACCAAGATGAGCCTGCTTTCCTGTCTATCGTCGAAGATATCCGCCGTGCAGGGGCTGTGCAATTCGGGTTGGCTGAGGATTCAGAGACAGCGGGTCAAGTGCGAGGGACGCCGAAGATTGCTTTCTTGTCTCCGACGGCTGAAGATGACAAGGATGCAGATCTTCAGGTTCTTGCTTTCACCATGGGAAAGCCCCATGCAAGCCTCCAGTTGACTGGTGCGGTGTGCCTCGGAGCGGCTGCATCGATTCATGGAACGGTTGCGTGGGACTTGGCAGGAAGGAAAGGAATGAACAGAGTGCCGAAGCATGGGATGTCTTTGAACGGCCATGAAATTGCGTCTCCATTGCCCATAGGCATTCGGCATCCTGCTGGGGTAATTTTTGTGGAGACAATGTTGGGAATGGATCAGGAAGGAAAGGTTAACGTGGATAAAGTGGCGGTCTTTCGAACGGCGCGCCGGCTCTTTGAGGGCAACGTGTTTTACCGAGAATAATAGGCGGAATTACTGCTTTAAGTTGAGACCTAGAATAGCTCCACGCGTTAAGTATCAGAGAAACAAGAAGAAGGTCCGTTGAGAGCAACTGTCCCAGCAGAAGCCCATATCTTATATTCGAGTCCGTCCATGAGGGAAGAATCCCCGTCCAAAATGTAAATTTGACGACGGATGAAGCACCATCCATTGTGGCGATCACGCTACATTTAAGGAATTATGGACGTAATTTCTCCAAGCTGGTTATTCCATGGCTGCTTTCTCCCTGGAGCAGTACCGTGGAGAAAACTTTATGGAGATTTGTACTGTCCTGTTTCATGATTTATCTGTAGATTACTCGACCAAAGTCACTGCCAGTATACATATCCGATCATTTTGTTCTGCTTTCTATAAATTTCTAAAATCATCTATGTGCTCTGGGAGACAATATGGCCGATACCTCTTCATAGACAGAGAACACGATGCCACCACTTAAAAGAAGCCGACCAAGTCGCATAGAACTGCCCTTCCAGAAACCACGGACCCCATAATCGCGAATCACACTCCGGGAGGCTTCAACAACCCCAACACCCTGGACACCCTGAGCTCGTGTCTTGATCGTGTCAAACGGTTGCGTGGCGTAGACAGTAACCACACCTGCCACGGCACCGATACCAAAAGTGGTGAACACGTTCGTCTTGACGTTCTTTGCTTTAGCAGTCTCCTTGAGGACATTGTACGTCCCCATACGAACTGCAGATGTGGCAGACTGCTTCATCGCTGTGGACAAAAGACCTCGATAAAGCTCCGTGATACCATGTCTTTGGACCAATAGTTTGGTCGCATGGAGACCAGATTTAAATTGCCGAGCCCCTTTCGCATCGTCAATTCTATGTTGAAATCAGTCAGCGTGGATGTCAATGTCTCTCAAGGATCCAGAGGGCCCATGATAGGGGGGCACGGACAGTGCGGTCTTGATTCTCTCCGTAGGTGTCACTGCCAGTACACTTTCTACTGCGCCTGCAAACATGCCAGCCAGCATACCCCGGCCCGGTGAGAGGACACCATGGTCATCAGTAAGGGCATTGCGGATTGTATCGTACGACACAAACCGGACAGCAGCTTTCGCCGTGGTTCCCTAATTTCAGATCAATATGAGGTCAGGCTCGAGTGGAGATTCAAAACGGACGATAACAAGAGTTGAGCAGCCCGTGTACAACGCACCAACACCTTCCTGCTTTGCAACCTGGAAGATGAGGCGTAGTGGATTAGACGTCCGAACAGCGCTGTTGTCTAACAACTGAACGCGAGTCTTGGAGTACTCGAATGGATACTGCGAGGAAAATCAGTGCCGCACAGACTAGCGTGAGGTTAAACACTGACCGTGATGGCTGCTTCCACTCCGCCTGCAATTCCTCCGGCCACGAGGGAGACCCATTGGGGCGTGTGAACCTGGACTGGGTTAACTGGGGTATATCTTTCCGGGGAGGGTGGGATTATTTGATTAATTACCCGCGGTTTCTTTGTCTCAGGTTGTTCCGAGTGAGCAACAAGCGCAGCCATAGTGTGAAAAACGGCAACAATCAGGCGAATAGTGAGTGTGTTTGGCCCTCGGCAGTCTTATAAACTTCGGGACTTACTAGACGTTGGTTTGTGGGGAATTGTGGGGAACGGAAGGAGAGTTGCCGCGGAGTAAAAAGCGTCATTTCTCGTATATTCCCATCTCAACCCGCGGAGGACCGATTTGACGACTTCTTCAAAGATGGAAAGAAACTCTCCGCCCAAGCGAAGGGCCGCCAAGGCCTGCGCATTTTGTAGACGCAGAAAGGCAAGTCGACTGAGGTGTCTCAAGTGCCATGGACTAATGCAAGGCAGTTCCGTTGCGATAACGAACGTCCGATATGCTCCAACTGCAAGACATACGCGCAAGAATGCGCCTACATATCAGGACCCGACAGGCCCAGGTACGTCATCGAATATACACCCCTTACTACTATGTATCACTAAATGTGAAGACCAACAAAAGCTCGGCTATCCCAACTCGAAGCCGAGAATGAACAGCTTCGACGGCACCTTAGGCGCATGGATGCTCGCTCGGAAGACAGACGAGATGTCACCGGAGGCAGTCCCTCTCAGCCACGGCAGCAGATGCAACATGCGTCGGAGATTCCGAGTACAGAAGCAAGTGCCGATCGATGTCAGTCAGCTGTATCGCGGATATTCATTTCACCAAATGGGGACTCAAGTTATCATGGACTCACGAGCACATTGTTCAACGATGCATCAACTGATCAGCACGGCCACCCTCGGTCTATAGATCCGCAGATACCGGTAGAGCACATTCGAAAACAGTTGATCGGAGAAGCTGCTTACCAACGTGAGATCCCTGATCCATGATTTCCAGGTCATTGCCACCATCTAACAGCCAAATAGGGCAATTGGAAACATTGAACTTGCGACAAGGGAAACTGGACTTCGACGGAGTCGATCCCGAGCTTGGAATGCACCTCCTATCTCTACATTGGAATCGCCAGCATCATTCCTTCTTGATTACCTATCGCCCATCGTTTATGCGGGATATGGCGACGGGTGGTCCCTATTTCTCAAAGCTCCTGCTAAACGCAATTTACTTCGGCGCGTCAAAATTCAGCAACCGTCCAGAAGTCCGTCGAGATCCCGATGATGTTCGCACTGCTGGATGGACATTCCGCCAGCGAGTTAAAGAACTGCTCGGTAGTGCTTTAGATCGAAGTGAGATCACCACGATTCAGGCCCTGTTGGTAATGACTAGTTCTTTATTTGCATTGGGAGATGAACGCAGCGCTGCGTGGCTCTATGCCGGTACGGCATTTAGAATGATCATCGATCTCGGCATGCACGTTGATGCTACTATGCTGAGAAACATGCGGCGCCTCTCGGACGAAGATATTGAAATCCGTCGTCGAGTGTTCTGGGGTGCCTTTGTCGTGGATAAGATTCAATCTCTTTACCAGGGTCGTCCTGCAAGCCTACAAGAGTTTGACACGAAAGTCTCCCTGACACTCTTGGACCACTACGAAGAACTTGAACACTGGCAACCCTTCGCGTATACGGATGTACAATCATACCCAGGCTCACCCGCATACAGTGTCTCGACCTTTACCGAACTGTGCAAGCTATCGTTGATTTTGAACTGTATTCTGAACAAGGTCTACTCTGAGCGAAGCTCGAACCGGTCATCCCAGGAGTTGGTCACCACACTGGAGGCTTTGGATGCACAACTCGAGGCATGGCATGAAGAGCTGCCAACGCATCTACGGTTCGGCCCTTCGTCAACACAAATCACGCCACCACCTCATGTTCTTTCTCTATTGGCACTTTACAATGTGCTGCTCATCCTTCTCCACCGACCATTCGTGGCGGAAGGGCATCTCCACACTACCGATCCGTCCGTCGCCATTAGCTCGTTCACTACTTGCACGGCAGCAGCAGCTCGCATAATCCACATCCTACAAGCTTACGACCACGCATTCTCCATCAGACGCGCCCCCTATCTGATTTCCTATGCGACATATGTTGCCGCAACGATTTACGTTCGAGTTGCTGCCCAAATGGAAGCAAGCAGTCGAGCGCATTCAAATCTTTGGACATGTCTTGACATTTTCCAAAAGAACCAAGCGACCAACTGGGCTGTCCGCCGGGCAAAGAATGTAATCGTGCATCTAATGGATCGCATGGGAGTTGATCTGAATATCCGGCATAGGGAATATGAGGAGGCTCGATCGGATGATGATACCAGCGAGCAAGGACGGGCTTTAGAAAAAGAGGTTTGCGCCGGTAACGAGGGTGTCAGGCCGACTCCTTTGCCTACTCGGATGACACCACCGGAGACAGAGGTATCGGAGTTGGATATGGACATGATTATTCAGAGCTTTATTCGACAGCAAACGAGGACAAATGACGAGCAGATGTTCGATGAGCCAAGTTACAATGCTTTGTCTGGTTCTGCAGTTCCTCTGGCGACGCCTAGTGTCCTTGCACCCTCCGTTCTTCCAGGGTACAATGATGCGTGTTTTGATGCGCAGTTTGATGATGATATGTTATTTGGCTTTAATGGATCTGTGCAGGATAGTATGCTGTATTTATAGGGAATTATCATCATTGTGTTATCATGTTGAATACCAGTAACACCCAACACAACTTACTTGCATTGCTTGTTATCGTTGATCGGGGATCAACAGCCTATTTGGCCCCAGCGGATGAAGCAACTTTCGCAAAGACTTTCGAAACATTGTGGCATAACCAGGGTCAGCTAACTGTGATTATCTTACAAGTCTATCGTGATAATTGTGGTAATCAAATAATGTTGATTTTGATTGTATTCTCTATAAACGTAATATTCTGTCATGACAAATACAAACTCCCATGAAACCATCAATATGCTTAGATAATAATGTTGGCAACGCCGTTAGCCAAGTCCGTCTCCTTCGCCTGCGACATGTTCTTGACCTGCTCAAAGCAACCAGCCGCAGCAGAGACGAAGCCAAGGAAGGGCTTGCTGGGTGCCAGAACACGAGAAATGTACTCGGGGTGGAACTGAACACCCACGAACCAGGGGTGCTCCTTCAGTTCGACAATCTCCATACGCTCACCAAGGTCATCCTTGCCGATGAAGTGGAGACCGGCATCCTGCAGCTTCTCAATGTACTCAGGGTTCACCTCGTAGCGGTGGCGGTGACGCTCATCGATGGAAGTACGCTGAAGTCCGTAGAGAGAGCGCAGCTTGGACCATTCGCTGTTCTCCTGGAAGAGAGTAGGGCGGGAACCCAGGCGCATGGTTCCACCGAGATTCACCTGGTCGATTTCGGGCATGTATACCACGATTGGGTGGGAGGTACGTTCGTCGAGTTCGACAGAGTTGGCTCCCTCAAGCCCGAGGACATTGCGGGCGTATTCAATGACAGCAATCTGCATACCCAGGCAGATACCGAGGTAGGGCTTCTTCTTGGTACGGGCGTGGTGGGCAGCGCGCATCATTCCAACAGTACCTCTGGTACCGAAGCCTCCTGGCACCAAGATACCGTTGGCAGTGTGGACATCATACCAGGCCTTGTGGTATTCCTTGGAGTTGGTCTCTTCCCACTCGGTCTCAAGGTGGGAGGAATCAACCCAGATAATGTTGAGCTTGCGGCGAGAAGCCATAGCCGCGTGCTCCAATGACTTGATAACGGACAAGTAAGAGTCGTGAAGAGACACATACTTTCCAACCAGGGCAATGTTGACTGTTTCAAAGGTGTGATCTTGCGCAGTCGTAAGGGTCTTCCACTGTTTCCAAGTGCTTTGACCCTTGGTCAACTGAGCCTGAGGGATCTCCACCTTGCTCATGTTGAGGAGGCTGCCAAGGACATTGGGGAACCCTTGCTGCTCGAGGAGCAGAGGAACGTGGTAGGTCGAGTTGACATTGTGCACGCCAATCACCTGCTCTGGCTCAACCTGGCAGAACATGGCAATCTTGTCGATGGTGGCCTTGTCGAGAGGCCGCTCACAACGGCATGCAATCAGATCCGGACTCAAACCAGCTGAGCGAGCGTCCCGGATAGCCTGCTGGGTAGGCTTGGTCTTCAGCTCATCATGAATGACAGGAACCAGGGAAACGTGGATCTGGACAAAGTTGTTCTTGCCAGCGCGACGACGCAGCTGACGAAGAGCCTCAACAAAAGGAGCACTCTCAATGTCACCAAGAGTACCACCGAGTTCGATAACACAAACATCAGGCTCCTCGTTGGTGTCATCGGCAGGGGTTCTTGCCACACGCTCGATCCAATCCTGGATAGCGTCCGTCAAGTGAGGCACAATCTGGACCGTGCGTCCAAGATAGTCACCCCGGCGCTCCTTCTCGATCACATGCTTGTAGACCTTTCCAGTTGTGATGTTGTTATCTCTTCCAAGGGTTACTCCGAGGTATCTGTAGTCGACCAAACTATCAGTTTCTCGTCGCTTGACTTCGTGTAACAGGGCAACAACTTACCGCTCGTAGTTTCCGAGATCGAGATCCGCCTCGCCACCATCGTTCAGCACGAACACCTCTCCGTGCCTAAATCGCTGTCAGGAACAATATTCAGAGATTGAAATTGAGAAGCCACATACTCAGTTGGGGCCATGGTTCCCGCATCGACGTTCATGTAAGGGTCGATCTTGATGGAGGTGACTCGGGCTCCCTGAGTCTTCAGCAGCAAACCGGTACTCGAGGCTGCACATAGTATTAAAAAGGGGTTCTTCACTGCTCGATTGAGAGGATCGTACCAATCACGCCCTTCCCGATGCCACTTATGACACCTATAATACGCATATGAGTTACCGTTTCTTCAAAGGAGAATGAGTCATAAATACCTCCGGAGACCACGACGTACTTCATCCTGACGATGAGGTGAATAAAGCGGTCGAGACAAGAAATATGAGAATTGAGATTGATTTAAAAAAAAATCACGATTGCCACTAATAACCCTTGGAAAAAATAAATGTAGGGTGCCGTTCCTGGCTTCTGCCGGGGGGGAAGAGAGAATGAAAATCGAAAAAAATGAAGCTGTAAATCGCTACCTGTGGTTCACCGCCCCCCACTTTGCAGATTTCCGTTCTGACTTTTTCTGCCTGCCCGATAGGCGGTGAGCATTCCACGTGACAAAGAAGTGATGCACCTCACCGCCTGAAATTTTATGTCACATATATAGGGCGGTGAGATAAGTAGCGTCAGGTGACTTTCCAAGGTTGGGCTGGAATAACCTCATTTCCGGTGATCCCATAGCCCACCTGATCCCCCCTCAGTTGGCATCACATTACTTGCTTGTGTCATCGACCTGGTGGGGCTCCGGTGATATTCATCCTTTGTTCTTCACTGCCGATCGGTGTTGTTTGCTCTCGATACCTTCCGATTTTCCACTTCCAGCTCGTCAGCCGTTTCTGTCTATATATGTGGAAGTTCTGTTGCTAGCAGCTGCCCATGCGGTAAAGCGCTCTTTGTCGATTTACAAAGGTAAAAGCCTCCCAATGACGCCAATGGAGACGGATAATTTATCCGCCCATCGGCTCTACCATAAATGATGCCATATATACTGACTTGGTTCTTAGTTTAGACTAGACACCACGTACACCTGAACTTGTATCATCTCTGCCATTGGGCGGATGTCTTCCGAGGATGTTCCACCAGTACCTCAACACAAGCCCTCGTCTACTTTCGCAGATGTATTCAAGACGCTAGGTGTCGGCCGACCCAAATCGCATTCCCCGGTTTCCTTGCAAGAAAGCAGTAGCGATTCGCTATCGCATACAGACAGTCGCGGCGCCAATCGGCTTGTACACGGTCTCGAATCAATGCATCGTGGCAGTGTCGTGTCGAGTTCGTCGGACGCTCCCAGTGGCCCGGACTTCGAGACGTCCTTCCAAAACTTGTCGCAAACCCAAAACTTGACTCGGGCGATTGAGGAGGCCGAGAATTTATCAAAAACCCTGCCCTGGTTCAGCTCCGAGCAGTCCGTGGTGCTATGGGAAGCAGCCGAGTATCTCTTGCGTCATGAACGTGACTTGGATGCCCAGAGAAGTGGCGCCCAGTTACTGGAGGCAATCGCAGCACGTCAGGATCTGTCTCCAGCAGCTAGGCGCCAGGTGTTTGAATCGATAGCCGCCCCGACTGCGCCCGATGTGATTTCTGCGCGCGTGCAAGCCTTGATCTCTTTGTCCGATCATGGCAGGAAATTGGATTTCACTAATTCTTCGATCCTCCATATCATCTCCTCGTGGATTGTTCCTCTCTATGAAGTTATCGCATCAGCGCGATCGAAGGCGAAGAAAGGGAAGGTCATCAAACTGAATGGGATCAGTCAGGATGAAGCAGCCTTGGGAGATCTGTTCCAGTTTGCAGTGGACCTGATCACTCTGCAGCGGAAGAAGCCGACTCAGGAGGAGATTGAAACGCTTCTCACAGAGTCGTTCACCACATGCAGGAGAACCAGCGTCGCAGCCGACATCAAAAACTCTTTGTCTGTATTTGATGCGGTGATCATGTATGCCGATGTACCTGATGCAAGCTTCCCCGTTCTCCTGGAAGTCCTTTGCAGCATTCACGCATCGGTAAAGTCACTTTCTGGGCCCACTTCTCGAGCGGTGCGCAGTCTAGCCAAGTCTCGCAGACAGGCAGAAATGGTGAACACTCTCCACGAGTTCTTAAGGGAATCGTGTGCTGTTGAACAAACTCGTAACATGAATGTGCTTCGTGGCACTATTTACGTGTTCTCTGATTTTGTCCGTGCCTACGGTCAAGATGGCATGCCCCAGCTTCCCTTTGATCGGCTAATAGAGTCATTGCAAGTGATTGCCCAGAAGGACGATAGCCGGGTGGATTCGGATATCTTGGATTTATGTCTGAACATCCTAGAAGGGGACTATCTTCGTGTTGCCTTGACACGTGATTGGAACGCGTTCGCCGACCTTCTCATATTGTGCTCTCGCAGAGTTGTGGAAGAGTCAGCCATATCTCCCATTTCAACCAGTTCCAAACCAACCGACGACATCAAATCCTACATTCTTACAAATCTCAATCTGATTGCTTCCGTCCTTGAAACCCAGTGGGAACAACTCAACCAAGAGCAAAAGCAGCACGCTGGTCGATTCCTCATGAAGAGCTACCAGCATATTCAGCCTACACAGGCTGAACTCATCATTCACTTGATGAGAGAGGACAAACTTTGTGAGCCCCGCGAAGATTCGGCCTGGGTTCAGCATTGCCGTGAACTTATTGAGCGATTTGTTCAGCCTCGTAAACAAAGTTCGGACATCCGCATTCTAGCCTTGGACACGCTGAAAGGAGCTCTTTCGGGTCATGAAGCTTCGATTTTCTCCCAGGAGCACGGTCTTCTCAACCTTTTGCTGAGAGATTTCTCGGCGGAGCATGATCTTCTTTTCTTGGAGTCGCTGGTCTCGTTGCTGACTGACCCGGCCATCCAACATTGCGACGACGAAACCTTCAAGTTACTGATAGGCGTTATCGGAGCGCCAATGCAGGGGGACTCGAACCCAGACGACCCTCGCGATACTTCAAGCTACGCATCTCCTCCTCGCCGTACATCCACCACGAGCGCGAGTGTTTTGGAGTTAA